TATAAACAGGTAGACAAAGACTAAGAATTGACCAGGGATTGAGGGGGTTAACTGCAAAGCAGCACAGGTGACAAACATGTTCTATATCCTGACTGGGTTGATCATCATACACTCAAAATATGTCAAAGTATACTCTTAAAAATTGTGTCATTTGTGAAAAATGGCAATAAAGCCATTTTTTAAAAAGCACATCACATAATACTCCTCTACTTAAACAATGTAAGGCTATTTCACTCAGAATAAAGGCCAAAAAAGCCCTAGATGATCGTCGTTTAACTATCCTACCTTCTCTTCTACTCCTCTCATCACTCCACTCTTGCCCCGGTGTCCTATTGGAATAGCTCGGCTACAATCCCAGACCTTGGGGCCTTTTCTCAAACTGTTCTGTTTGGAATTCTAGAAGTCTATTTGGCTAACTCTCATCTCATTCAAGTCTGCTCAAATCTCAATCTCTCAATGAGGCTTGGCCACCCTATTTATTACAGTAATCTGCACACCTATATATTCCTCTAGCTCAGTGGTTCTCAACCTTTTTAATGCCTCGACCCTTTAATACAGTTCCTCATGTTGTGGTGACCCCCCAACCATAAAATTATTTTCTTTCCTATTTCATAACTGTAATTTTGCTAGTTATAAATTGTAATGATCTGGGGGTTTTTTGATGGTCTTAGGCTCTACAGCAGTGGTTCTCAACCTGTGGGTCACAACCTGAGAACTGCTAGCAGGGTCACCTAAGATCAATGATTCTCTCTCATCATTGATGCTTCTCTCTAAAATCTATATATATCACTTATTCACTCCAGAACTGTAGGCATCAGAGCACTTTAGACCTTAGAGTATCACACTATTTATTGAATCAATGAATACTGTTAGTCTCCACCTTTTAAAACTTGCTAATTCAACCCATCAGACCAAGGACTATATCAATAAAAGTTTAGATTTGTGATAGGTCTTTTAAGAGAAAAAGGGAACCACCCTCCAAAAAGTGGTGAATAACCAATCCAACTAGATAAGATAAAAAAAAAAATGGGAGCAAAGTACCCAGCCTAGATATTCGTCATAATCTTAGTCATTGACCACTTCCGGCCCATAGGAGTAACTATTCCCACCTCCAATCCTCTTTACTCCAACAGTATTCCTGGAACTGTTATCTTAATCATGACCTCTCATCAAAAACAGCTTCCAAGTTCAGCAATTATTTGTATCCTGAGGGTAGAATAAAAGATTGTAACGGACAGAAAAATGCAATAGAGGACACATGGATCACCTATCACAAGGTTTCACATAGAGCAAATATTCAATAAATTACAAGTTATATTAATACAGAAGTATTCCCATCTAGGCCACCTATGAACTAGAAAGTATCAATCAGGGTAGAACCATTTAGTACAATTCTGATAAATCGCCCAACTCAAGACAGCTTTTTATTTCCCATCATCACAACCACTTTTCCTAAAGGCATGCCTAGCATACAGTAGGTGCTCAGTATTTGTTGAACGATTCTGGGAAATGCCCTAATTAGGTACTGCCCTAAGTGTTAAAACTAGAGCAAGAAAGTATAGACAAAAATAAAATCTGGAAGACAATGTTTTTATAGAAGCACAGAACTAAGAAGTGGCTGGCTCTTCCCTGCCCTCACCAATCCATCCTCATTGTTAAATAATCTAAAACTCAATGCGAGGTCCTTTTTTTATGCCATTCATTCTAAAGGCTGTAAGTACAAGTAATGAGGTACTAGTGAGATGTTTGTCAGCTATACAAATAAGACGGTGAAAGGTATTAAAAAGTGTTACTGGCCTAGTAGTAGAATGCTGTTGAAGCCATAACCCCACCACCACCACCACCCCATGACATAAAAAGTGAATGTTCCCTCAAAAATGTCCTTTTCTTAAGACCTCTTCCTTGGAAATAAGTCAAACTAAATGTATTGACTGGGAAGCTGGAATGGTAATAGTAAGGGGCGGGTGATGGCTGTTTCTCAAGCAGGAAAAGACCTACAGCTCAAAACTACTGGTAAGCAATTAGTTTTACAATTTCAAGGTGGACCGATAGGGGTACATAAGTCTTTACTGGAATAAGGCTGCCTGGCTCTGTCCTTCTGCATTAACCCTTTTACCTTTTACAATAAAGAAAATCAACAGTGATGTCCTCCCAAAGCTGAATGTCAAACTTTACATCCTCCTCTCTTTTCCGGGGACAAATAAGGCCAAACAAGAACTCTTTCACAGCACACACATTCCTAAGTTGAAAAACCATTTATTTCACTGGAAAGAAAAACAAAGTGATCCAACTCTTTGTGTCCACCTGCCACAAGCCTTTGGGCCAAAGACTCAGAGGCAGTGACACTCTCACCAGGGTCATTCCCAAATCCAACACAATTGGAAACAGGAGGTGAGGAGATGGCACAGCCCCACCAGTATCTGCACTCAACGAGGCCTGCTAGGAACAGAACATGAAAGGGAAGCTACAGAAGTATTGAAGGACAGGAAGAACAGGAAGATGGGCAGGAAGGAGGAAAAGAAGAGGCAGTCTGAACTTAGCAAGGTAAATTAAGGTCCACGATGCCTGAGGGACTGAACGCACAGAGCCGAGAACTTCCCGGAGACGGGTACCATGAAGGGCGTATTCTCATGCACAACCGCAGCGTGGGATTTCAGCCCACACACATCCCACCTGAAAGAGAGCACAACACAGGGGCTTTACAGCAAAGCTCAAAAGGCCTTTCCCACATAAAACCTCCAAGAACATCTCTACAAAGTCTGGTAACATGACTTCGGTAAGTTTACTTACTTGTACCCATCTCCAGTATGTATCACAATACTCTCTAAAAGGGGAAAAAGCCTGGAGGCCAGAGAATAACTAGGAAGGTCAAGCAATCCCAGTCTGGGGCTTTTCTTTAGATTAAATTGTAAATTTTCTTTCATGAGAGTAGGTAAAGAATTGCATTTCCCTTGATGTTAACATTAGCATTTCTCAGAGAAAGTAATTCCACGTCACCAACTGTATGTAGAAGGTAGGGAAAAGGAAAAGGTTCCAATTAGCTCTCTGGGGTAAAAAGTCAAAAGTATGTTTGAATCTGGGAGTTACTACCAAGGTCCAAGTTACTACCAAGGTCCAAGTTGCAGACCATTCAAAATCGAGGCAAAAGCAGCATCAATTCAACAAACTGTAAGACCAGAGGACATCCCACTCTGCTTAAGAATGTACTAGAGGGCATATGTGAACTATACAGTTTCTTTTCCAGCCCCGAGTAATTTCCCTAGGCAAGTTACATACCTTCTGCCAATGTCTGGGCACACTGGGGAATGCGCAAAACAAAAGGGCATTATGAATCACCCTTTAATACAACAGCAATCTCAGACACCTGGAGCCCACGCTGGCAAGCATCACAATATTCTCCAGTAAAACCAAATGGCTCATGGGACTCAAAATGTGTAGATATAGGAAAACGCCAGAGGACTCGAGGTAGAGCTGGTAGTTCAAGAGGATTAAGTGCCCATAATTAGTGGGAAGGGAGTGATCTAGTTAAGGCAGCGATTTTCAGCTCATGGCACACATAAACCGATTACTAAAATTCTGTGGCACACCAAAAAGTGTACCTTTTGTCCAGCTGACAAAAAATAAAGGTATAATTTTGACTCATTCACCCTGGACAGTTACTGTTGTGCTGGCTGTTATTTTTTTTATCATTTAACCTTCTAAGGCAGCGGTCGCCAGCCACACCTGCTGCTCCAAAGGTTTCCCAATGGTCGCCAACCTTTTGGACCTCACGGACTACCAGTTGGCGACCACTGATCTAAGGGAAAAGAGGTCAGTGTCCCTGATTAAATAGTCAGGTATTATGTTTTTAAGGATTGAAAATCACTGGCTTAGCTGAAACCGGTGTGGCTCAGTGGACAGAGCGTCAGCCTGTGGACTGAAAGGTCCCAGGTTTGATTCCATTCAAGGGCATGTGCCTTTGGTTGCGGGCACATTCCCAGTAGGGGGTGTGCAGGAGGCAGCTGATCGATGTTTCTAGGTCTCTATCTCTTTCCCTTCCTCTCTGAAGAATCAAAAAATATATATTTTAAAAATGTGTATTTAAAAAAAAAAAATCACTGGCTTAAAGCAAAACTCCCAACCCTGGAGAATAAAATTAACAGGTGTGTATACATAATATCTATCTTTAAGAAGTGGAGAGATGTCCAATCTAACCCTGTGGGGACAGTTTATAGAACAAAGTAAACAGGTTCTTACAGGGCAGATTCTAAGATAAAGCAATGGAATGGGTGCACTCTTCAGGAAATGAATCTTGAGCTGTGTGGAGGAGGAGCTTTGAGTCTATGCCCCAGATTCCTTATCGAACTCAATTTTATAAATTAAAGATACCTTTTCTCCTCTCTGCCCCAACCTAACATCAAATAAGGTTTTTTATAAAGTTCATAGTGGGTGAACTGTTCAGGAATGCCAGAAATATGCTGCTTCAAGATTGTGATGCTGCCATTTGGGTAGTCTTCATAGTAACTGGGACTTGAGCAGTGATGACCAGTTAACTATACAGTTACTGATTTTATCACTACAGGTCATAATCAGACCTGTCACACATTACAAAGCAGAACAGGAAACTTGCAGACCTTAGTAATGTCACATACCTAGAAATTTCAAAGGCTCTGAAAAAAAAACAACACACCTTAGTCTAAATGTCTGGGTCTTAGTTTCAGTTCATTTATAGCACATAGGTGTGACCCAAGATTCATCTCACCATTTTGTTTTTCCAGACACTGAATCAGATGGACTCCTACTACCAGGATCCCTGGAAAAATAGCTGTGAGTGGTAAGGGTGTTTACATATTTCAGAAAGTTAACTCGTTAGGACTTTTTCCTAGCCTCTGAACCATGCTAGTAACCTTACCTTAACCCTGCAAAAGCAAGCAAGCAGAGCAACCTAACTGGAGCCTTTAGGCTGTAGGAGGGACGGCAAAACCAGAACAGGTGACACCCCACCGCTCTCACCTCAAGCTTTAAAAGGCTGAATACCGCGCCCGATCGTACTGCGCCCGATCGTACTGGGACCGATCTGCGTACTGCGCCCGGTCTGCATACTGCGCCCGCTCTGCGTACTGTGCCCGGTCTGCGTACTGCTCCCGCTCATACCGGGCCATGTTGTACAGGGAATTCCGCGCGGCCGCTGAAGCTTGGGACAACTGATTGTCATGCCCGTAACCGTAGCCCTCTCCAACAGTGGGGACTGGGGCTGTAGCGCGACGCAGGGGGCTCCGATCCCGCCCGTAATATGAAGAGGAAGCTGCAGTAACAGCAGCAGCGGCTGTAGCAGCAGCTCCCGAGGTCGGCAACAGGTGTCGATCGTAGGGATCGAGAGAGGTGGAGGTGAGGTGATTGGCCATGGCTGTGTTCTGGACTTGTGGCAGCTGGGACAAGGTCTGCTCTGCGTAATTATACGCGGAGGCAGCTGCAGCCGCCACCGCCTCATAGGAGCGGGCGGCACGGCAGCGCTTGTAGTAGGCATCGAGCGCTCCGTACGCGTTGTTGTAATACAACGACTCCCCATAGCTCATGGTGTAAGGTGTGCGCACGGCTCCGTATTGCTCATTATACTGCTCGGTAAAGTCTGCCACGCGGCCCGTACGATCTATCGGACACTCTTTGGACCAGTGCCCCTCTTTCCCGCACCGATAGCAGCCGCTCTGGTCTCCCATCCCGGGCGCAGTCCTAAGCCGGCTGGTGGACAACTGCACGTGCATTCGTTTGCCTTGAAGAAACAGATGCAAGAAGGGTTGCTATCACTCTTAGTCATAGCCCCGGCCCCTACCCCCGACACTGGTCATAGCCACGGCTTTACCTCCACAATGCTAATGCAGGACTCAATGCCAGGTTTTATTTTATAAAGTCCAATAAATAAATTTAGTATAGTGACCTGATTTCAGACAAAGATTAGATGAAGAAATGTTTCCACTCTAACACCTAACACTAGTGTAATGCTTAAGAAAGAAACCACTCTTGCACAAAAACAAGTATCTCATTCTGTACCAAATAACTGTGTACAAAAACTCCTCTGAACAGTGGACCACCGAATGTCAAAAGAAACCACAAGATTGCTCAGCAAGATTCTGGAACTCCCATCTTCACTATCAAAGGCTCTGATTTCATTAAGCAAAGGAATGCAAAGACTAGTACCCCCAGACTTCCGCCCCTCTCCAAAATCAGAGGGAATAAAATAAGCTAACCCTAACAGAGGCTGATCCAGACTTGATCACTGAGTGGGATAGCCGATTTTCAGATTTTTGGGGAAAACACTCACAAACTGGGGGAAGAAGAGTGAAATACCAGTTGAAGGACCGCCATTCCTCCTAACAAGGGTACTTGACAACCTGACTAACTTAGATGACCCCTCGTGGAATCAAAGGAACCAGGACTGAGTTCTCAAGTTGCCTGAATTTTTAAAAAGATTATGAAAAATATGGAAGGATGTGAAAAGTCAATAACCAGTAATATTAGTTGGTGGACCAATCTGTTCATTTTAGCAAGGTTAAAGTACATTTCCCCCTTAAACTAGGGTTCTGAGATTCTAAGAATATGCACTTATTACTATATTTTTGCCAAAAACTACAATTTGCATTCAGGAATGCAAAATATCACTTCTGAAAACCTAACCAAAAAGAAAGCAACAACAAAAACATTTTTCTATTAAAAGTTGAAATTTAAAAAAAAAAGTTGAACTTTTAAAACTTTTCACAGAAGCAGTTTCCACCTTACATGATCTACCAATTTAATGGTAAGCAAAAGTCCAGCAAAAACTTTCTAACGCAACTGGCTGTGATGCAACCAAACATGCAGATGTCAAAGAAGTGAATGGTGAGAACTAGGGGAGAGTCAACAGGTCATCTGTTCATTTAACATTACAGAAAGTAGTAAATACACAATTTCACCTGCAAAATTAAAATTAGGTTAAGTGAGGCTAGAAAAGGAAGAGGCAGAAGGGTCAAAACACTAAAAAAGCCATGGTTACACATTGGTAAGTGTAGGCTGCAGGTTAAGAGTTAAGATGAGTGCTTTAAGGTGCTAACCTATGTCCCTCTGGCATTTGCCCACAAGGCCACTTTGGCATCTAACAAAATAAAAGAAATAAATGTAACCAAGTATATCCAAGATATATAAGATCATTATTAAATGTCCTGAGATAAGCTAGTTTTTAAAATATCTATATGTTGGCCCTGTGGATAGTGTCAGTCTGTGGACCGAAGGGTCCCAGGTTCGAATCCAGTCCCCAGTGAGGGTGTGGAGGCAGCTAATCGAAGTTTCTCTCTCATGGATGTTTCTAGCTCTCTATCCGTCTCCCTTCCTCTCTGTAAAAAAAAAAAATCAATAAAATATATTTAAAAGTAAAAATAAAATAAAAATCTCTACTTTTTATAATATGACAAACAATAAATACAGTTCACCCTTTAACAAAATGGGTTTGAACTGCGTGGGTCCCCTTATGTCCACAAAATTCAAACCAATATTGTCCCAAGAGCCAACTGTATTTTCAACTGAGGGTGGGAATCCACTTATGCAGAAGGCCAACTGAAATACTAGGATTTTCGACTGTGGAGTGAGCCAGCGGCCCTAAGCCTCATGTTGTTCAAGGGTCAGCTCTAAACTCAATACTGAGAAACTGAAACGGGAAAGGACCACTAATATAAAATGTTATTCTACATAAAACTCTACTAGGCAGCATTAAGGAGAATGGCAAATAGTAAGAAAAATAGGACAAGAGTAAGTATAGGTAACAGAGAGCCTGGAGTTCAATGCTAAACGATTTGTCCCTCCTTACACAGAACTGCTACAAGCAGACACCACCACCACCTCTTCTGTGACTGCACGTAAGTGTAAAAGGGTGTCCAAAAATTAGGTGTCAGGCCACAAATCCTCCACAAGAGCTGCGTTTTCTCCCAATTAAGTTGTTGACACGAAATAATTCTCAACTTACCAATTAAAAAGGAAAACAAACTAAACTCTAGAGACCTGTGACATCTCTCCTCAATAATTAAAGCACAGCAACACCCACGATTACTTGGGGGAATGATCAGACCTCCAGCTCTAAGAAAGGTCCAATTTGAGGGAAATAAACAGCAAAGATAGCAGCAACAGGAAAAGCAGTGGCCACTACCTGGTTTGGACTAAAAAGGTTGGAATGTAGGTTAAAAGTGTAGCAAGGAGTTGTGGGAATAACCCAATAATTTACAATCAAATGGAAAGGGCTCTTTTTTGACACTGGGGGCAAAGGGGGTTAAAGAAGAGTTAACTCACCATAGTTACCAACCTCTTCACGACTGCTACTATTGGCAAAGATTAGATTTTAAACCAAGAAGAGCCACCTTCCAAATACAGTGACAGTGCAAGCATCTCTCACACCACCCTTCAGGCACACTACAACAATCCATCTAGTCACCCCTCTGTTCATTCACGAAGGATTGTACAGTCCACCCTCCCCCAACCAGTGAGAAAACACTGCCTCTACTGCCTCCCCCCATATCTCAGTACCTCCTCCTCAGAAATCCTGAAATTAGCCTTTTAATTGTAAAGTGGCCTCATCTTCAAAACAAACAACCTTGGTAACAGCACCAGGGGCAACCCTTTAAAAACACCTGAAGGGTTTCAGGGTTTGGGGCTTGCGTGCTCGGTCCCCAGTGTAGGTGTGCAGGAGACAGCCAATCAACGATTCGCCCTCATCATGAACGTTTCTATTTCTCTTCTTTGATGTTTCTATTTCTCTATCTCTCTTCCTCTCTAAAATCAATAAAAATATACTTTTAAAAGAAAAAAGACACCAATTATCTAAAGACTAATCATTTTTACTGAAAAATTATGAATTGGGATGAGGTGGAGAGTTTAACAGGGATTCTATTAAATGTGTTGCCGAAACAGCTTTTGCCAGTTTCTTCGAATAAAAAAATGATGCATAAATCATACCTTGCTCTATCATGCTTTCAAATATTTTTCTTTTTTTTTCAAGTTGAAAACTCCACCACCAAAAAGACTGCAACTCGCTTTGACTCCCTTTATTGCCATACTGCTTCACTGCAGTGGTCTGGAACTGAAGTGAGCATCTTCCAGGCAGGCCTGTACTGTGCTGCCCGCCCCCTGCCCTTGCCCCCAATACAAAATCACTAGGCAAACCTTAAGAAAGGAATGCTGCACTAATAGGCAAAAAAAAAAAAAAAAAAAAAAAAAAAAAAAGGCCTCAGTGGCTCCAAACTACAGCCAAATGGCTTTTCCTCCCAGAGTTGATTTGCCTAAGGTAAAGCCTCTAAATCCCAAGCATTCTTTTCAGGTTCATTACTTACTCTCCACCATCAGCCAGCCAGCCAGCCGCCAGCTGTATTTCTCTACCCCACACCTCCCTCGATCGATCCAGCCTACTTTCCGCGCCCAGCCTGTGCTCAGCCCTCTTCCTCAGAGGGTGGTTCACCTTGAAACTCTGTGTTGTCAAGGCCCCTGATGGCCTCGACCGCGTCCTCGGCCCGCTCCATGTGGACGAAGGCGTAATCTTTCACGATGTCACATTCGATGACCGGGCCGTACTCCTCGAACTTGGCCCGGAGCTCTTGGTTGGTACAAGTGGGGCTGATGTTGCCCACGTGCAGCTTGGTGGAGGTCTTGCTCTTGTTCTTGCTGGCCTCCACGTTGATGTTCACCCCGTGCAGCTTGTAGTGGTGCAGGTTGCGGATGGCATCTTCGGCCGCCGTCTTGTCCTCTATGTGCACGAAGCCGTAGTTCTTAATGATGTCGCACTCCAGCACCTTCCCGTACTGCTCGAAGAGCGAGCGGATCTCCTGCTCGGTGGCCTCCCGGGGCAGGTTTCCGATGAACAGCTTCACCATCTCGACACTGCGGGGCGAGAGGACACAGTTTTAACGAGACCTCAGGCCCACACCGATTTAGAAAATAATACTGGCGTCGTCTTTCCCTCTCACACACGTTTCCAAACAGGGTTCCCTCTCTCAAAACCACCTCCGAACAATAGCAAAGGGAAGCGGGAATGAGGAGGCCCCCCGGTGCCGGCTACCGGCCCGAGGATGAGAGGAGTGTGACTGAGGGGCCCCCACACAAAGGATTGGAGAGCCTCACGCGGGAACGGGAATGGAGCAGAGCAGCGCCGGGAGCGGGAGGACGGGCCTTTCCGCCCATTCCGAGGAGCCTCAGAAACAAGGTCTCACTGCCGGCTGGCTGGACTGACCATGAGTTGGCTCTTCTCCTTACCGAGTGGCCACCATTTCCGGAAAGTGGGTCTTACAATGGCGGGTTTGAGTTTCCTTCGGAAGGAGCGAGGGGCTGAAGAAAGCGCCGGGAGCGCCGGGAGCGTTCGGAACGCCTCTCCGGCTCCCGCGGAAGGAGAAACGCGCGGCCCGGAAAGGGGCTCCGTGCTCACGGGCCAGACAACCCTCGCTCTGCGTTTGCTGCCCCTCCGGCTGCGGGAAGCGCGGTTACCGCGGTGGAACCTGAGGCAAGCAGCCGAAGCACGTCGGCTCAGGCAGGGTGGGAGCGCGCGGCATTCTCGGGGGAGGCCGTGGGGGAAGGGAGCTCTGCGCTTACCGCCAAACGCCGAGCACCGAACTCGGCTGTTACCGGCGCGGAGGCCGCGACCCCGCTAGGACACTCCTGAAGCCCGAGGGAGTGAGAGGAGATTTAACAGCGAAATAAAGACAGGGGAGGGCGTCGGAGTCTCTCACCCGCACGGGAACCAGCAGGAACTCTTCCTCGCGGCGCCGATGCTTCTGACAAAACGCTAAAATGGCGGCAGTCGCAGCGGTGACTCTGGGTAGAAAGGGGGAGGTGAGCCTACCACCGATTGGCCACTCGGTAAAGTAAGAGGCAGGCGTTCGCGCAGATCCTCTTCCTGATTGGTTGACATGAACGCCAATTACCTGAGAGGCCGGGAAGAGGTGGAAACGTCAGTAACGCCAAGTTCTTAGGCGAAAGCCAATAAGCATCAACCTCGCGAAGCCGAAGTCGCTGATTGGGTGAGAGGCTGGCTTGAGGGCGGAACTACGAACGTGGGGCACGCCCGCGGGGCTCGACCCGCCATTAGGCGAGCGCGTCAGGGCCTAGGCGTGGCGGTCTCTAGCTCCAGGGCGCCAACTTTGTTAAGCTGCTCTCGCCACTTCCTCGTCCACACCCGACAGTATTCCGCGCTCTCTTTGGCCTTCCACTCCAAATTTCTCCCTCTAACTTCCCAGAACACCCCGTGCAGCCCGGATATTGCGGACCAGACCTTAATGCAGACCCAAAAGTTGGTAATAACGAAGCGTTTCACTTTTAAAAAATCAACCTCCCCCTTTGACCAGGATCCATCCTGTTGCCCTGGAGTCCGGGAGCTCCCCTAAATTAAAACTATGTTCACAGGTGGTAATAACAGGAACTCTAAACGGTGAGTGGACGCAGGTTCGGTTACGGGTAATGGCCCAATGACCGGCCTGGTTGGGGCTGCTTTACTCAGGAGACGCTGAGAAGTTAGAGACGTTTCCCGCGAGGAACCAGCCTCCTGGAGTCCAAGATGAAGCAGCAGCTTCTGTGTCTGCGGCCATGGAAACTGAGAAAACACCCCACCCTGCCCTGAGAAAAAACTGGAGCAGAAAAGTTTCTTTATTTTATTTTATTGGGTACCGTCAGCCAGAGCTGTAAGTTTAAACCCCTAGAATGGACCTTAGAGAGAAGAGCCTAATCACAATCAGCTACACACAAAATACAATCCAAACGTTCCCCAGAGGGTCCAGTTCCCTCATCACATTTTCTTTCTTGTCCTCTAGCTTCTTCACATAACCCCATATTCATTGTGCAGGCAAGGACCCCTTTGCAAGGCAGCTTTTAGAGAGGGAGTTGATGAGGTGAATGACGAATACCGGGTGGAAGAACTTAAAACATAAAATCAGTGAATTGTTAAGGAGGAAAGGGATCAGCAGCGGAAATGACAACAGAACATACCACCACCCAAAGCAGTCCCCCAAAAAGGGGCGGGTCATAAACAGAAAGGTGGGTTTTAAAACCTGACATAAGCCCTGCTGGTGAGGTTGGGCGTTGATTCCCAGACAGGGCACATGCCCGGGTTGCAGGTTGATCCCTGGTGGAGATCGTGCTGGAGGCAACAGATCAATGATTGTCACCACTGTTTGCTTCTTTCTCTCTGAAATATAAATATATATAACAAAAACCCTGACATGACTCCAAAATCAAATAGTGGAAAACTGGACAATCACTTATTCTAGAGTGGGAAAAGGTAAGCACCTAAAAACCCCAAACTGGCCGAAACCGGTTTGGCTCAGTGGATAGAGCGTTGGCCTGCGGACTGAAAGGTCCCAAGTTCGATTCCGGTCAAGGGCATGTACCTTGGTTGCGAGCACATCCTCAGTAGGGGGTGTGCAGGAGGCAGCTGGTCGATGATTCTCTCTCATCAATGTTTCTAGCTCTCTATCCCTCTCTCTTCCTCTGTTTAAAAAAAAAAAAAAATCTATAAAATATATATATTTTTAAAATTAAAAACCCCAAACTGCAATATTTACGTGTGGTGGTCACTAATATTGATCCATTTTCATTGTAGACTGTGATGCTGATACTGAGTAAAGGCCATATGATCAGTGAAGAAGACAAGCAAGTCCATGTTGGTCAGCTACATGTGTGCCCACATTTTGGAGGGGCCAGCATCAGGAGGTTGTTACAAATCATCTGGACAGGGAAACGTCTGGTAAAAAAAATCCTCTCAGCACCTGTTTGATCTTCCAAAATATTTGAGTCCCAAATGCCCTGAAGATGAACTTTCTTCCAAAACCCTAAAGTATATATGAAATCAACTCTGTAAAACTAGTAATCTCTCCAAGTCCACAGGATCACAATTTAAGCCAGTTTGTAAAACCACTCCCCAATCCCATTTCCCAAACCAATTATTTGAGTTACCTTCTGAAAGGTCTCTAGATTGTTATGTTTCCTTTGCCAAGTTCTCCAACTCAGTAAACCACATTAAATCATCCCCCCTTTTAAGTCCCACTGCAATTTGAAAACTTTCAAACTCGCCCCCATCCAATCTGGTTCTTGCCAGAATATCCCAATCTCTTTACCAACCAACACTCTCCCCCATCGCCGCCCGAACACACACACTCCTCACTACCACTCCCAACCAGGTTCCAGCGCACTTCCTTTGTCCCACCTCAGACTGTAATGCTCTTTCTCCGGGTCTTTACTCTCCACCCATCTAAAGACATTTCCCGACTCCAACCCTACCTTGGCACTCTATCCCATGAATCCAAGTTATTTTTCCAAATACTTCAAATCCACTTGAAATCCTACTTGTTTATTCATCTTCTGCCCTCCTCTCACCTTTCTCAAGCAAATACTTGTTCTATAAAGACAGGGCCTATTCTTATTCCCTATGTCCGGTGTTGAATGGCATCTGACACATAGTGGGTACGCAAACTTGTTGACTAAGTTAACAAATAAATGAATGAATGCATGTTAACTTCTTGATGACCAAAAGAAATGACTGGATTTTCAGTTAATATCAGCTGAAGATGGATACTTATTTCTAAAAAGAAGCAGGTGCACTCTAGCTGGTTTAGCTCAGTGGATAGAGCATTAGACTGCAAACTGAAGGGCTCTGGGTTCGATTCCGGTTAAGGGCACATGCCCACATTGTGGGCTCAATCCCCAGTAGGGGAGCGTTTAGGAGGCAGCACATCAATGATTTCTCTCATCATTGATGTTTCTATTTCTCTCCCTTCTCCCTTTCCCTCTAAAATCAATAAAAATATTTTTTTTTAATAAATAAAAAACAAGCAGGTGCCCCAAAGCCAGGAGGTAACCTATGCTACAGTATTTCATCACCAGGATTACCAACTTGACAAATGCTGACCAATGCTTAACAGAGCTTTACATAGGAAAATTTATAGCTCAAGTGTTTCCATAATGTTCATCTAACCAATTGTATTTTACCAAGTACTAAAGGAGCTTAATGTTTATACCTGAAAAATGATTAAAGAATTTCTATTTTTATTTTTCCATTAAACGTTTTTTAAAAATATATTTTATTGATTTTTTACAGAGAGGAAGAGAGAGATAGAGTCAGAACCATCGACGAGAGAGAATCATTGATCAGCTGCCTCCTGCACACCCCCCTCCCCCCACTGGGGATATACCTGCATCCAAGGCACATGCCCTTGACCGAAATCCAACCCGGGACCCTTCAGTCCGCAGATCGACGCTCTATCCACTGAGACAAACAGGTTTCGGCCCCATTAAACTTTTAACTAAAGACATCTAGTCCCAAATTTTCTACCTTACCACCTCAGCTATAGAAAATCGGACTGAATGGGATGTTTTAAAAGTACCTTGTCTGAAACATGTAGATGTCATTTTACTTATTTTTAATTTGCTGATCGGGTTACTAAGCCCCTAAAAAGTATACTGACTTGTCCAAAATCATCTAGAAATCTAATGTTCTGTTAAGAGTTAAGCATAATTATATGTTCTGACTGCAGATCTTGATGGAATGAAAGAACCTGGAGCCTGGGCTCTTGAAAGGAAAACAAGGGACAAGTCCAAATGTGGGGAGGGAAACACTGGTGGTATCAGTTAAATCCACTCAAATAGGAGTAAGCAATCTGTGTTAACTTCACACCCTGAGGAGCAAATACAGTTACACACCTAGTAAATAACCTCAAATTAAAAGCCAGTATTCTTCAGGGAGGTTCAGAAGGAACTCCAATCCCACTCCCAGCTACACGCTCCCAGCCTCCCCTTAATGTATTCGCAAGCCCACTGCCTTTCCTCTCCATATCCAGGAGAATCTGTTCCCAAGACAATGAACACTGTTGCCCGAGAATGGAAGTGGCCCAAGCTGGTGTGGTCTAGTGACCTACATCACTCCTAGGTACCTTGCGCTGCAGAATCCACTGCCTTGCCCTAGCTGGTTTGACTCAGTGGATAGAGCATTGACCTGTGGGCTAAAGGGTCCCAGGTTCAATTCTGGCTAAAGGCACATGCCCAGGTTGAGAGCTAGATCCCCACAGTAGGGAGTGTGCAGTACACAGCTGATCAATGACTCATCATTGTTTCTATCACTCTCTCTCTCCCTTCCTCTCTGAAATCAATAAAAATAAATCCACTGCCTTCACTGTTACTCCATATATTGCACAACTACATCCAAATTCCTTTGCTCAGCTGTGTGCTCCACCAGGCCATTCCAACTCCCTAGAATGTCCTAACTCATCTCTATGAGATGGATGGCACAGAATGATGAGCAGTGACTATATAGGAGGAGGACCTATACTTCTGACATGTTCTCATGTGACCCTTCCAACAGTAGTATTATCCTAATATTTACAAGTCCTGGGTGGTCCAACTCTTTGATCTACTACTTTCTAACCATATGATCTTAAGTTACCAAACTATAGCCTCAACTTATCCATTTATAAAACAGGTTTAGGAATACCCAATGCATTTGGGTTGCAATTAAGTTAATATATGAAAAGCCATGCTTCAATAAATGTTAGCTATTGTCTCCATCTTATAGATGAGAAAACTGAGGTAGAGTTCCTGACATGTTCAAGATCACACAGCTAAGTGGAAGAACCAGAATTCAAACTCAGGAAAACTAATTTTAGAGAATGACCAACACCCCTTAGTCATTCTCTCGGTGCTAAGATAGTTTTCAATCAAATCCTAACCCCAGAAAGTTTTCTCTAATAACTGACTGCCCCACCTTCTCCTTCCTAACTTACCAAACTCCCTTAGCATTGCTTATTCCTGGGACTAGCTCAATAAGGTAGATGCTGCTTCCCTGGACTATCAATTCCTCAAGATCAGTCCAAAGGCTCCATTACTAAATACTGTATTTCCAGCATGACACAGTATTTCAAATGACTTAGAGCTAGACTTAAAGAACTAAGTCATTTAAGAATTTTTTTCTAGGAATTTCAGATTCTTTTATTTTTTAACTGTTTGTTTTTTGTATTTTTTTTAGAGACATCAATTTTTTGTTCCACTCATGTATGCATTCATTGGTTGACTTTTTTTAAAAAAATATTTTATTGATTTTTTTACAGAGAAAGGGAGAGGGATAAAGAACTAGAAACATTGATGAGAGAGAACATCCATCAGCTGCTTCCTGCACACCCCCCACAGGGGATGTGCCTGCAACCAAGGTACATACCCTTGACCAGAATCAAACCCAAGACCCTTGAGTCTGCAGGCCGATGTTCTATCCACTGAGCCATTGGTTGACTCTTGTAAGTGTCCTGATAAGGGATCAAACCCACATTAGGATGACGCACTAACCAACTGACCTATCCGACCAGGGTTCTTTTATGACCTATAGAATTTGGGTGAATATACATTTTCCACCTGCCACCCATCTTACCTTCTCTATTACCCACATTAAATAGCATATTAGTGCATAAATCTAGGACATTTATTTTCATTATAACCTCAGCCATCCCACATTGGTCAGCTTACTTGGCTTAATAGAACAAAATGACCAGAGAACCAACAGTCTGTGTATGGCCTTCCATGTAGCTTAACTGATAGGCATGACTAGAAAGGTTGCCTACCCATAGGGATATCACATGACCATCCAGTGATAATTCCATTATCTCCAGTAACAGGGGGGGAGAAACCCCAGATCTACCCCAGACAGAATTTCAAACAAGGTCCAAACCTCAAAAAACTGGTTGACGAGGCGGGAAGCCTCTATGTGGTCTTGTTCCAGGCATATATGAACTGAAACTTCAAGTTGTAAAGGTAATAGATAGAAGATCTGAAGGGTGCTGGGAGCCCATATTCCCTACCCCTCTTCCCAGAACACAAATGTCTGTCATCCTATACACTCAACCCAACCACCTCCAAGTTATAGGACCCTAAAAATCAGAAGTCCACAAAAGCAAAGCATATGGCTATAGGGTGAACACAAGTGGCATAATTTCAGAGGAGAGGGAATTTTACAACAATCTGCAAGAAAGAGGAAAGTGGTAGTAGCTCCTTCAGGCTTCCACAATGAGAAGCTCAGGGCTGATGCATCCGCACTGATGACGACAGGCAAAGTGATCATCTAGGCCAGGTCAACCTGAAGAATTTGTGCTAACAATACAGAACTGGCCCCAAGAGCGCATTAAGCAGTTTTCCATAGGAACCCTCGCTGGAGAAAGGAAGACAGAAAGCCACATTGACAAACATTATTAATACACAGGCCACAATCACAGCCTTATAATCAATCAACTCTCATTTTCCAGGGTAACAACCAGAGCTAAGCTTGTTAGCTAAACCCTCAGATCACCCACCCTCAGTGCAGAAAAGTGAGAAGAAAACTAGCAAACTCCCCCCAACTCCAGTCCTGCAAAGAAATAAAAGGAGCAGCGAAGCACCTGAAGGCAAAGCGGTGAGCAGGGAAAAAAAAAAAAAAGTTATGGTCCCAGTACCCGAGATTACCCTAGTAAATAAGCGTCCACAAGGGCTCATGGTTATAAAGGTCATCCATTTGCTTTTGCCCATGGACAGAGAGAAGAGAACATCTGCTGAAAACTACTGTCACAGACAAACTCACAGGAAACCGGTGAAGGCAGCCTCAACTCCACTTGATATACACACCTCCCCAAAATCGCCTTACCCAAAGGAACCCCAGTATCCAACCATTCTTCTTCCAATCATCCATCATTAAACGTGAGCCTCCCATCTTATCCCTGGCTGGAATTCCCTCGTTTTTGGCCAGGTCCTCTCAACGTCCAGCACTTGAGTAAAAGTATAGAAATGGTCTTTAATTCCGGCATCCCTACTTGGTTATGTTTGCACCTCAACCCATTCCCAGAGTCTGTCTATCATGACAGCTCCAAATATAAACCCAGCAAGTAAACATCTGGAAACCCTAGTAAACGGAGACAGGCAGAGTGAGTCTCAGGTGACCGTGATGATAGGCGGTGGGCAGGACGCAGGAAGGATACGCCATGGTGATGTTCAACCGGCAAAATATCAGGTGTGTGACCAGAATCTCCCATACCTTCTTCCAATTGTCCATCCCTCCTTTCTCCAACCACAGGGCAGCATCAGACACCAACATTTCCCCCACCCACTACCGGCTCCCTTCCATCCCCAGTCCCAGGAGTCCCCTGAGCCCACGGCCTGAAGGATCCACTAGTTTTATAAGCGCCAAAGTAGCCCTTTCCCCACTTCTCACTTGAGAAGCCAAACCCCAGAACCCCCCTGCTGCAGCACACGTTGTTTCTCAACTGGAAACAAGTCAAGAAAAATGGTCAAGCATAGGTAGAGAAAAATGGGCAACACGTTTTCTGCATTGGGTTTGATTAAATCGAGTTGAGGGCTGAAGAAGCCTAAGCTAGTTGGTCTGGACAATCCATTCTTAAAGATGGCAGACTAGCAGGACGACAGACCATGAGGAAAATCCCTTTGGGCAGAAGAGAAATTTTAACCCTTTGCACTCCGAACATTCTGGACATTGGCTACCAGCTACTCGACGCTACTTTGCGAAACGTGCGTTGAATTAACTCAATTCCCCGTAATCACTAATAAACTGCAATGTCCCCTGAGAGGGGACATCCGAGTGCAAAGGGCTAATTTCCATGTCAAATCCCCTTCCTCATCTGCCCTGGGTTCTGTGGCTGCCTTCCCTTTGGCCATCATGTCTTCCTGGATGTCTTTCTGAAACTGAGTGCAATCAAGACAATGACAACCAGGTTTCCAAACTGCAAATTGCCCCAAGTTTTATTTGTAGTCCATACAAAAGGGAAAAGAAATTAAGTTTTTCTAACACCACCTACTTGAGGAAATAGGGAGTGGGACTGTGCGTCAGCTAGAACATCAGGAGTCGGTAGGAATTTGGACATAAACCAACTGACTATCCCAGCAGGAACTCAGTCTCAACACAGTCTCAGAGGGACAGACAGAGTCCCCGGGACTGCTGGCACAGCTTGGCGTATAGGAAATGGTTAAGCTAACCCTTTCCTGGCCTCCGTCATATCTAAAAAGAAAAAGGCGCCGCGACTCCGCTGCAGGTTGATTTCCCAACCAGACCACCTTAAACATCGCGCACAAAAATAAAAGGGAGCCAGGAAAAAATAAAAACAAAAGAAACTCCCATCCTGGGGAGATGGGAGGCAGGGGAAACCGCAGATCTAGAGCCAGTAGCAAGATGTGCTGCTGAGGCGAAGGAACAAAGTAGGTTACTACCAAACACTCAAAAGGATCGTCTCCTGGGAAGGCCCACATGGTAGAGGGGATGAAAAACCACAAATGGGAGAGGTATGGGCCAGTGGTTTGAACCCGGGTCTGCACCCTGCCCCACTTCTCTCCTTCCCTCCCTATAACGCCCCGTCCCAGGACGGCCCTACATGCGGCGCTGGTAGCCAGAGTGCATTTGAGCGGCCCGCAGGTAATCATTATAGGAGCCCGAATAGCGTGCGTAATCGGAATGAGCATCGGGCAGGCGACGGTAATCCAGCGAGGACTTTGTCGGCGAGCGGCGGAACGAAAGCTGCGACTCTGATAAACGGCGGTAATCAGAGAGCTCGGCTAAACGCCGGTCGGAACCATACCTAGTCGAGAGAAGAAGACAGTTGGTGAATGAGACAATTGAGGGGAGGGCTCCAGGTGGGCATGGGGGAGATGCCAATGGGGATAGGGAGGGTGTGATCACACTGGTTTCCAACAGACAAGAACTTGTCAGAAGGCTCAGCACCCTGTCCAGGGCAAGAAATCAAGCCTGGTTCAACTCAGTGGGAAACCAAGCCCGCGCTGAAGCCCTCCCTTCTGAACTGGCCACGGTGGATTTTGGTCGGTATCCCAAACCACAAGCTATCCCCTCCCTCGGGTCCTGTAAGAAAGACCGTGGTTGTTTACCAACAGAACGGCGGACGAAAGCAAGGTCCCGTTTCCCCCAGAGTGGACGCACCTCGTACACCGTGCCTTCAGCCAATGAGTGCCAAGGCACTCCTCTTTCAAGCCTACCCCACCAGCCAGGCCAAGCACAGGACAGGCTACGGGTCCTCCGGACGGGAAAGGCTGCAGGCCACAGTCTTGCAGGCCGTGGCTCCAATGGCAGCCGGGGCCAGCCTAGACATGTGACCCTTTTCCCGGCCTAACTAGCTGGTACCACCCCAGGCTGAGCACTGGGCTCCACCTGAACCTTGGTGACCAGGAAAGTTCACACACACCATCCCCTTCAGCCTTTGGACATCCCACGGGAACAGCAAGATCAAGGGAGGGACCGATGGCTCCAGTTTCCCTCCCATGCCAACCTCAGCCCCCTGACCTAAGCCCCGGCTGGGGGCAGAGGCAGGGGGGCATACAGTACCTTTTCGACATGGCGACAGCCTTTTTGTAGGGATCGTCGTAGCTGGCCCGGGGTGGGGAGAGGCGGGTACGCTCATAGGGCGGCGGGGTGCTGTTGGCGTTGGCAACGGCCCCCTGGGACATGGATAGGTAGGCTGCAGACGGCTGGCCTGCCCCATCATAGGCACTGCCCGGCTGACCGCGGTAGGAAGCAGCAGCCTGGGGATGCTGCTGGGCAGCGTAAGAAGCAGCCAACGAGGCTGATGACTGAGTGCGGTAAGGACCTGCCAGGGAGGCCGAAGGCTGGGCCCCGTATGCAGCGGCAGCACCGTAGGAACCAGTGGCCGCAGCAGCTGACTGAGCCCCGTAGGAGCCTGACAGGCCCATTGATGCTTGAGCCCCGTAACTATTCAGTTGTGTCTGAACAACGGGCTGGGCCCCATAGGACCCAGCCATGGGGGTAGCGGCCTGTGCGGCGTAGGCAGCTGGCTGGCTGGCGTAGGCAGCAGCTGTGCCTGGCTGTGCCACATAGGCAGCAGGCTGGGAAGAGTAGGAAGCAGCCTGCTGTGCAGCGTACGGGGCAGACTGTGCGTTATAAGAGGCTGAGGCCTGGGCATTGTAAGAAGCTGCCTGGGCCCCATAAGCCAGGGAGGAGGCTGCAGACTGGGCCCCGTAGGAGGCTGCCTGGGCCCCATAGGAGCCTAGGGAGGAAGCTGCTCCCTGGGTGCTGTAGGAGGAAGCAGCCGCACGAACCCCGTAGGAAGAGGCAGCCTGGGCGCCGTAAGAGGAAGGCTGGCTAGCATAGGAGGCCAGGGAGGAGCCCTGCGCCCCGTAGGAGTTGAGTGAGGAAGCCGCAGCTGCCTGGCCCCCATAGGAGGAGAGGGCCGAGGGCTGGGCTCCACCGTATGGGCCGAGCGAGGAAGCTGCAGCCGACTGGGAGCTGGGGCTGGCCAGCTGGCCCCGGTACGGGGCCCCAAGGGAGACAGAGGGCTGAGCGCGGTAAGAGGCTGCCTGGGCTGTCATGGGCTGAGTCCGATAGCCAACACCCAAAGAGGCAGAAGGCTGCGCCCTGTAGGCGGCTCCCAGGGACACTGAGGGCTGGGCCCTGTAGGTGGCGGGCTGGGCCGTCAGAGGAGCCACGTAGGAGGCTCGGGGCGGTGAACGGCGCAGGGGGCTGCGGTCGCGACCAAAGAAGGGTGGTGTGGGCTGACGGGCTTGCCCATCAAAGCCACCAGTGCTGTTGCCAAAAGCCTGCTGGTAGTCGAAGGTGGCAGAGAAGCCACCAGCTCCAGGGAATGCCGTATCCCCAGCCCCTGGTTTCTTGGTCTTGTCCCCAGACTGGACAGCCAGGCCAGCAGGCCCCTTCTTCTGACCCTTGGTTGAGAGTTCCACGTTGATGCGCTTGCCCTTCACTTCTTTGCCGTTGAGCTGCGCGATGGCGGCTTTGGCATCGGCTTCCTTCTCCATGTGAACAAACGCGTAGTCTGATAAAGCAGCAGACAGAGGGTTAGCAATTAGGGAGGCAGGGCATGCTACCCAGTGGGCCCCAAATTGGACACAGCAACAGCACCCAGCTGTTGCCAACTATCTCCAGGCCTCTGAACCCTCCTCTCCAGGAGTTAGGTCACATACAAAGCTTCTGACCGTCCCAAGCAGCCACCTTTGCCTTTGACCTTCTCCCCATTCTTCCCTTTCCCCTGCCACCTCACCCAACTTCCTGGTGAGAGAAGAAAGAGCAAAGATGAACTGCAACACAGGATAAAAATCTTCACAGCTCCTGTAAGTATAACCAAAACGCAAAACGCAAAAGGGTGCCTGGATCTCTCAATTATCCAGTATTCTCTAACCCAAGGTCACCAAACACTACAGCTCACCTTTGAGGCTTAATACTCAAACACTGTCTCAGCCTAGGGTCCAATTAAAGCAAAAGAGCTAGACTGCAGTGCACAGTGCATGAGATTCTAACATGATCTCCCCTTTTCCCAAAGCACTTCCCAATTTCCAAAGCACTTCCATGCACAGGACCTCACGACAATCCTGTGAGGTAGGCAGGACAAAGGATCATTCACCCCATTTTACAGGTGAGAATTGATATGGCTTACCCCAAATCAAAATGTGTTAGATCCATGAACAGAATCCCAACTTTCCATACCAGTCACTACACAGTCTATTCCTAAGAAGTCAACGAATGAGGCAGGACTGTATAACAATGTGACTAGAGAGGGGAGAAGCTGGACCCCATGTAAATGTGTGGGAATGCAAATCAGGCCCCTGGCTGAGCTCAGGCCAAGTCTCCTCCGTTCACAGGGAAGACTTGATTCTCAGCTTTAAGGCAATTACTACAGCAAGCAGGCTCTGCTAAACAGTTACCCCTGAGGTCCTCATTCAGGATCTGAATGAGCTGTGGTGGGATAGGCTCTAAAATAGGATGTTGATTTTGCTTGGCTGGTGTGGCCCAGTGGTTGAGCGTTGACCTATGAACCAGGGTCAATTATGAGCTTGATCATCAGTGTAAGGTTGCAGGAAGCAGCCGAACAATGATTATCTATTACTGATGTTTCTCTCTCCTTATCCCTTCTCTGAAATCAATTTTTTTAATTGGATGTTGATCTCAAAGACCCATGTATCTATCTACCACACAGAAAGAAAATTTTAGGAAAGGAAGGAGTGGGAAGAAATTCTTTATCATAGTCAAACTCACAAATCATAGCAGTGTAAGCAGGATATTAAGAACGGTGATAAGATCATGCTTGTGGAAAATAAAGCCATTCAGTTAACATCCAGACCTACGGCTACTTTAAGATATAAAGTACCAGGAACCCACCCCTCTCCTATCAGTTTAGGAAATGTAGAACTACCTGGATGAAATTAGTAAGGTTCCATTCTTAGAGATAAGAATTATTTTTAATGGTCGTAAAAAAGTGTCCTAATTTCTAAAAACTTTCATACTGGGATACCCTCTCTTGCTGCCTCTATAAAGCAAGTCATTTCCCTGAATCTAAGGCAATACCACCAACCGACTCATACAAATAAGAATAAAATTTAATCAACAGGTGGAAATCAGAAGTATGGTATTCTTGGAATACAAGGAATCCTGGGCTAGGACCTAAACGTCTTTAGTTAGAGATCCAAACATCACTGACTTCCTATAAGCTCTTAAAGGACTTATCTATTATTTCTCTATCTGACTAATCTGTCTTATCTACCTCAGAATTAGGAAATTCAAATGAGAAGATAGGCCCAGCCAGTAAAGCTCAGTGATTGAAGCCCACGAACCAAGAGGTCACCAATTGATTCCTGGACAGGGCACATGCCTGGATTGCAGGCTCCATCCCCAGGTAAGGAACATGAGGAGACAGCAAATCACTGTTTCTCTCTATATATATCCCTTTCCCTTCCTCTCTCAAAAATCAAAGTAAAAATAACATGATAAAGGATTATGATAATTCAATCCTAGGAATAACTACAGTTTTATTTCCCTACAGAATATTATCTTCCATCTCTAATAAAACACTAGACACAACACCACCTGTACGTGTAAACTTGGAATTGGCCAGAGATGATAAAAGTACAAATTGAGCCCTAACCGGTTTGGCTCAGTGGATAGAGTGTCAGCCTGTGGACTAAAGGGTCCCGGGTTCCATTTCAGTCAAGGGCACGTACATTGGTTGAGAGCACATCCCTAGTGGGAGGGGTCGGGGGGTGTGTGTGCAGGAGGCAGCTGATCGATGTTTCTCTCTCATCGACGTTTCTAACTCTCTATCCTTCTCCCTTCCTCTCTGTAAAAACTCAATATATATTTTTAAAAAGTACAAATTGAACTATTACACTCTGTCTTCATATTCCCATGGCCAGAACCTGATTCCTTATCTACTAATTGTGAAAAGCAAAAATGATCCTTTCGCCGAAGCCGGTTTGGCTCAGTGGTAGAGCGTCGGTCTGCGGACTGAAAGGTCCCGGGTTCGATTCCGGTCAAGGGCATGTACGTTGGTTGCGGGCACATCCCCGGTAGGGGGTGTGCAAGAGGCAGCTGGTCGATGTTTCTCTCTCATCGACGTTTCTAGCTCTCTATCTCTCTCCCTTCCTCCTCTCTGTAAAATATCAATAAAATATATTAAAAAAAAAAAAAAAAAATGATCCTTTCCAAACCTGATTGGTGGCTCAGTTGGTTGAAGCATCATCCCATACATCAAAAGGAGGCTGCTGGATACCTAAGTTGTGATTTGGATCCCCAGCCACTGCGCGAAGGGGAAGTAGCCGAGATGCTTCTTTCTTCCTGTGCCTGTCTGTCTGTCTCTCTCATCAATAAACATATATTTTTAAAAAGTATTTCTCTTGGCCTACCCAGAGGACACCACAGAATTGTCCTCTGATCTCTCACCTCCACTTTGGGTAAAGTGAGCAAAAAATAGATGCTGGTGGTTGGAAATCTCGTTAAAAGCAGAAAATGAGCTGACCCTCATGAGAAGGTCAATACCAACCAGAGAATACAGTGTCAAGCAGAAAGCAGGAGCTTGAGGGCAGATTAAGGAGAATGGGGAAAAACCTCCCAGCACTGTGAGGGAACAGTCAAGAACCATTCTACACTCCAGGCTAACCTGAGACTAGAATGAGCTGGGGAAATAAACACACAACAAAAAGTTTCAATGGGTTTACAAGAACAGGGCTGTCTACTCCCTACTTGGTCAGGTTTTCTTAGGAGATCAAGTTGTGAAATTTGAAAATTGGGCTTTCACATGTACAATTCCATTGACCGCCCACCAGAGCTATATAACTCATTTTTTAAAGCCATCAGATACAATTATAACCAGTTTATTCCAGAAATTTCCTAAGCCTGATATTGGAGGGAATAAGTTATCCAAATGACTCAATCATATCAGGCTAACCAATCCTATCGGTGAACAGCCACGCACAGGCCTAATCCTATCAAGGATTCCGGGAACCCAACTACTCCTAGGACAAGAAAGAAAACACAGACTTAGAGAACTCCAAAGACCCATCCACCTGGAGAGCTAGTTCACGGAAGTGACCTGTGATGGAAACGCACTGCGTTTAAAGGGAAAAGCGAGCAGTGTTTCCCAGGCTCTCCGATTACCTGGTGGCATTACAATTCTCCTAGTACGGAGTTAACAGAATCCAGAGAAACGAGCACTCTTATCCTAAGAGTAAAAATCTCTAACATGAAACTACAGAGTTATGTATAGAAGAAAAGAATGCACACACACACAAAAAGGATAGGAAACCGTTTCCTCTCCTGCCTTTGAGACCTTCCTGAAGTCTAAACGGTTCCTAGTTGGCAGGGACTGATTCTCTTTCTTCATCTTTCTACACTCAATAGAAGATAGCTGTGCAAAGTGGTTGTAATCTGTTGTTGCTAGAGATTTTTACAAATCAAATCGTATCTAAGCTCCTGGGGTAACCAAGCAGCTGTTCTCCCCCCTGTAAAATAAAACAACTGGTTTTCCTGAGCTATGCCAAGTTTCCTGTGCTTTTCCAAGGTCTGACAGCCAACATAAGATTCAATAAAATGCCCATTCCCAGCCCAAGAAATAAGCTATTTATAGAGCCAGCCAGTTTCTTCTACATTCCCAACTTAAAACTTCACTTTCCTTCATCCCAAGGACACGGAAACGCATCAGTGAAGTCTATCATGCTAAAGTCTTTCCCAAAGTCCCTTCTAGCAATGTCTATCAGGAGGTGTTCCATATCTGCATAACTACAAATACCAGCTGACCACCACTCCCTGAGGAAACCATTTCTGCTAATCAAATGTTTACAAAGGGACAATGCGCCCACAACTTTCATTCTCCAGCCACGAGTTCTAAAAACCGCGTGCAGTTTACACTTCACCCTGCCCTCCACTGCCACTTAAGTGCTTGTCCCAAGCCAATGTTCTGCTTTCCCTACCATCTGAAAGCAAACGTCTTGACCAATGAGTCCCACGGAAACTGACCCTGAAGATGCCACTTTCTAGATTCCAATCTCGTAGCCATCCTGCCTAACAACTACAAAAAAATAACATAAAATAGGTCAATTAGACACAGAATTCCCATAATGAGCCAGACACACACCCACCCCTTCCTGGCCAGGTGCCCAATCTGAGGCCCTTCCTACTCTCTTCCTCCACACAAAAGCAAAAACCCGTGCCCGTACAGCCTGCCCCGGAGCACCCAGCAGGAAAGCCTGAATCCGGAGTCGTGGACTTGCATAACCTGAGTTGAGGAAAATAGAATGTAGCATTAATGCAGAACAAATAACCGATCCTAGGAGTGGAGACTGCAATCCTTTACATTTCCCACGGTTACAGGAAGGACAGGGAACGGCCTCTCCGGGACAGCAAATAAAGGATCTCCGTGGAAATAAGCACCTGCACCCACAGGTCTTCCCTATCCTCAAAATCTCTCACAGGGTTATGAGCACGTATGAATCCAACGCCAGGAGCGGGCATCAGATACTCCCGGGTCGCATCCTCAGAGATGGCAGGGCAACAGGTTAACTCTGACCTGTTCGCCAGTGAAGGGGAGACTAGCCACATGCGAAAGGGCTGTCCCCCCAAACCCTGCCAACATAAAACAAAAAGAGCTTAGGGAGCAAGAACCCTAAAAAATCAACGAGGTTCCAAAATGGAGGTCAGGCCTAAACTATGTGATATATTTTTCTCCAAGTTTAAAAGGCAAACTCAGGGATCTGCCCTGAGGATTAGACTAGCCCAGCAAAGTAAGTAAACCTGCTTAGGCAATGTTTAAGGAAGACCTCTCACAGGCGCCTCCCCATGTTTCCCGCCTCTGAGCCATGGAGCATGTCCCCTTGCAAAGTCGCCAAGCTTGTAAAAGAATGATGCTGCCCTAGGACAAATTAAGTCTTCGGAGAAGGGGCCTTCATAAAATAAGCTTCCTTCCTCATTCGGAAAGTCGGGATCTCCAGTACATAGCTGTGAAATCGAGTCCAAAGGGGTGGGGAGGGCGAGAACTAGCTGGAGGGTGTTGGAAAGCGCAGGGTTGCCACGCCTGACCCACCTAACAGGCTGAAAGGCCGAAGTGGTTAGGAAGGGGCCCCTCTCGTACCCACGAGTGCCCCAGGCCACAAGACACTAAAAAGACCCCAGCCCGAGGAACGCCAAAGGGCCCCGTTACCTTCCGCTCGCGAGCATTCACCGGGAGGGTACACGAGGGCAGTCTCGGGGCGTCAGCCCCCACCTTTTCCCTCTTCCCACGCTCTGACCGACGTCTGGGGAAGCGGAGCCATCTTCCCCGATCCGTGATCCGGCTTGCGCCCGTCACTGCCCAATGTCCGCTCGGTGCCAGGCCCAGAAGAACGGTGGAAGGCGCGCCCCCGGTACACGAGCGAGTCTCGCAGGCGCGTCCCCGGCCCCGCAGCTCGGCCCCCGGCCGCGGCTCCCACCCCGAGCCGCTTCCTCCCGTGTCGTGAATGGTGCCTGGGCCGCAGGGGAGGGGGGGTGATCCTACCCATCGCGCCCCCACAACTCCGGCCTCGCTCCCGCGGACTCTTCCCCCCCCGGACCCTCGCCCCCCCGCCCCCAAAAAAAGCCGCGCAGTGACCGACCCCGGGGAGAGGGGCGTGGCTACCAAGCAGCGTGCCCCGCGCGCGCCCGCCCCCAGGCGCGCCTCCGCGTTACCTTTCACCACGTCACACTCGATGACGCGTCCGCGGCGCTCAAAAAGGCTACGCAACTCCTGGCTCGTGCACGCAGCCGACACATTGCCCACGAAAATCTTCCAAGTGTTAAGAGGCCGTGGGCGCGACATCTCCACCACGAGCGCGCGCCCAGGCCGCAGCTCGTGGCCGTGCAGGGCCTCGATGGCGCGCAGCGCGCCCGCGTTCTCGCGCATGTGCACGAAGGCGAACTGCTTCATGACGGCGCAGCTCATGACGGTGCCGTAGGGCGCGAAGAGGGCTGCCAGCTCCTCCGGCGTCGTATCCGCTCCATCGACGTTCCCCACGAATATCTTCATGGCGCCGCCGCAGCCGCCTTCCCGGGAGAGCCGGGGCCTCTCCGCAAGAGACTAGCGAAACGTCCGGCCGGCCGGCTGTCCTCCCAGGAATGGCTGGCGGCTGAGAACCCCGCCGCGCAGGCGCCCTGATTTAGCCAATCAGGGCTCCCATTCCGCGCGCCCTGCAGCCAATCAGAGGGCTGAAGGAAGATTGTACACAGACGCAGCCAATCCCAGAGGGCCTGGCGCCCGCTCGTTAACGGAGGGGCGGGAGCAGGACGGCGGCGCGCGACCAACCGCCACCGCCGAGGGGAGGGGGAGAGGAGGGCTGGAGGAGTGGGTACGCGAGCGCCGGCAGCCGAGCGGCCTAGTCCCGGCGGCCGCCCCTGCCCCGGGAGGGGCCGGGCTCCCCAGGCCCCAAGGGAAACCTGGGTTCAGTCGGAAGTCAGAGCGTCTCCCATTCCGGCCGCTCAGGCCAGACCCGCGTCTGGAGGTGGCGGAAAACGTGTCCGCGGGAAGGCCCGGTCTGGCAGGAAAAGCCCGGACAGACCGACGCCTTCTCGGCTTCCGGAACCACCGCCTCCGGGCCTGTGCAGGGCGATCTGGGGGGATCTGAGGGGCCGCTGCCCGGGAAGGAGCCCTCGTACCCAGCGTTCATTCTTTAGAAAACACATTCTCTGAGGTTGCTGAGGTCCTGGCAGACTCTGGAGGCGGGGAAAATAAAAGCACGTCTCTGCCTTAAAGGAATTGGCGAGCGAGGGTTAATGAGATGTAGCCTTGGGGATGTTTGAAATGTTCCACCTAAGTTTAATAAAGTAAAAAATTGGGTCAAAAGCGTGGTCCTTGAGGCAGCAAAAGTTGAGCCTTTAAAAAAAAATAAAAGGAATTTTTTCAAAACTGACGGATGTATATAGATAAAGATTTTGCATGGCAGAAGACATAAAAAAAAAAAAATCCACGTAACAAACTCAGGGAAATGTTTGCCTACATATTCATTCTGCAAGTTTTATTCTCTACCACGTGGGCAGCACCAAGAATAGAGCAGTGAACAAAAAGTAACAAAAATCCCCACCTTGGTGCTTATATTAGAGTGAGAAGACATTAACAATAAAACATATAATTTGTTGAATAGTGCTAGAGATTTGTAAAGCCGCTGAAGGAGCAGGTAAGCCAGAAAGAGGAACCATTCCGGTCAGAAAGTACCAGTCACAAAGCCTGTTCAAGGAACTGCAGGAAGCTGGTATGGCTGGGAGTGAGAAGTTGAGTGAATAATAGGACATAAAGATAGGAGTGGGGGGCAGGAGGTGTAACACCTTGTAGACCATTGAAATCACTGGCTTTCACTCTTGGTAAGGCTGGAGGTCTATGGCAGACAAAGGGCAGAGGGGGTTCATTTGATAAGACTTTTCTTTCGTTGACTTTTTTTTTTGTGTACATCATTCCCAGAGGTACTGCAATACTGGATCCATGCATGGAGTGGACAGAGCAAGCTCCTATGCCATCTCCCTATTCCAAAAATACATTTAATATAATGTCCTCGGATAGAGAATGTGTCATATAATTAAACTGATAAGAATCTATCATATAATTAAACTGATAAGTATCTACTACACTTGATCTTAGCCAAAAGGCAGAGAAGCGATATAGGAATGGATAAAAACAGCGATATAGGAATGGATAAACTGATAAGAATCTATCATATAATTAAACTGATAAGTATCTACTACACTTGATCTTAGGCAAAGGCAGAGAAGCGATATAGGAATGGATAAAAACTGATAAGTATCTACTACACTTGATCTTAGCCAAATGGCAGAGAAGCGATATAGGAATGGATAAAAATTACCACTACTGCTAAAATACAGTTTGGTTCAGTGGATAGAGCATCAGCCTGAGGACTGAAGGGTCCCGGGTTCGATTCTGCTCAAGGGCATGAACCTCAGTTGCAGCCTCCTCCCAGGCCTGGGCCCTGGTTGGGGCGCTGCAGAAGTCAACCAATTGATGTGTTTTTATCACATCGATGTTTCTGTGTTTCCCTCTCTTCCACTCCCTCCAAAAAATAAAAAATACAGGAGAGAGATGATGGTGACATGGATCAAGGTGGCCCAATAGAATTCAGGGGAAGTGGTCAGATTGAACTGTAGAGCTGAGATTGGATGTAAATTGTGAAAGAGGAATCAAAGATGACACTGAGCCACTGGAAGCATTAACTAAGATGAGTAATTTTACAGGAGGAATAGATTTTCTGTGGAAGACCAGAAATTCCGTTTGGGACAGGATAAGTTTAAGATCCAAGTAGAGATACGAATGGCAATTAGATATGTATCTACAGTTCAGGGCAACTGTACAAAAACACCACAAATTTATATGGAAAAAAGATTAAATAAATGAGCCAAGGATATGAACTGGAAAAAAAGTGCAAATGAGGCATACAATACTTGAATTTAAAAAAAAAAAAAGTACAAATGGCCTATAAAAAAGGAACTCCATAGGTAGTCAGGGGAGTGCAATTTCCTGAAAAAAAAAACAAACGACGTTTTTCAGCACTCAGATTTGCAAAAATATTAAATTTAAATCTATTGCTGGTAAGGTGTGAGGAAAATACATTCACACATTGCTAATGATAGTGTGAACTCTATATCCTTCTTGGGAACTATTCTGGTAATATCGAAACTTTAAACTGTAGTAAGTCTGATTCCTGGTCAGGGCATAGGCCCAGGTTGTGGGCTCCATCCCCAGTAGGGGGCGTGCAGGAGGCAGCTGATCAACGATTCTCTTTCATCATTGATGTTTCTATATATCCCTATCTCTTCCTCTCTGAAATCAATAAACATATATTTTTTAAATAAATAAATAAAGCAATTGCTAATAGTCTTTTCAGTGCACTGATACCTCTAATGTACATCATAAACATGATGACAGGATTCTTTCCTGCTGAAATTGACGGGTATTATTAGACAATCAGACCCCGGGAATTCAGCATTTTTCTGTTTGCCTGAAAGCGAGTTCTCTCTGTTATGGTGCTTCTCTTACCTAGGTTTCTAGGTTTAATCTTCTCTCCATTCCTGACTAAGATGCTTTAAGTCAGTGTATACCCACATGTATTTAACTTACAGGGTAAGTCTTAGGAGCTGGAGGATGGTCCAGATCTCTACTCCGACACCAGGATAGGAGCAGCAGTCAGACACACCGCTATGACAACTCAAGAGAGGATGCTGAGCCCTGGGCTTTTATTTATTTGTTTGTTTTACTTATTTTTATTTTTAAAATATTGTGTTTTTATTTTTAACCCTCATCTGAGGATGTGTTTTATTGATTTTTAGTGAGAGAGGAAGGGATGAAGAGAGAGATAAACAGCAATATGAGATAGAAACATCAATTAGTTGCCTCCCCTCTACCCCTGACCCAGGACAGAACCTGCACCTTTACTTACTTAATTTTTTTTGGTGCACTGGAAGACATTTCAACCAACTGAGCCACTTGGCCAGGGCGGGCCTCAGCTTAGTAAAAAGTGGAGACTAATAGTTCTCAATATTTAGTGTGCTTCAAAATCACCTGGCAGCCTATTAAGACAGATTTCTAGGCTTCACCCACACAGTTTCTATTTAAAAAAACAACAACAACAACACTGTAAGTGTAATTTATTTATTTATTTTGTTAATCCTCACCTGAGGATATTATTTTCCATTGATTTTTAGAGAATGGAAGGGAAGGAGGGAGGGAGAGTGAGAGAAACATAGATGAGAGAGAAACATCGATTGGTTGCCTCCCCAATGTGCCCCAATGCAGGGAGGAGCAAGGGTATGGGGATCGAACCTGCAACCCAGGTACATGCCCTTGACTGGAACTCAAACCTGAGACCGTTCCAATGCTCTAACCACTGAGAACACTGGACAGAGAGCACACAGTTTCCTTTTCTTTTTTAAATTATTTTTTTTCTTTTCTTTTTTTGATATTTTACAGAGAGGAAGGGAGAGAGAGAGAGAGCTAGAAACGTCAATGAGAGAGAAACATCGACCAGCTGCCTCCTGCACATCTCCTACCGGGGATGTGCCCGCAACCAATGTACATGCCCCTGACTGGAATCGAACCTGGGACCTTTCAGTCCGAAGACTGATGCTCTACCGCTGAGCCAAACCGATTTCAGCTATGTCTTTAAAAATATAGTTTCTGATTCAGAAAATCTGGAGTGAAAGCCCCAGGATTTGCATCCCAAACATTTCCAGGTGACACGCAGGCTGCAGATCCAGGGAGCACAAGGGTGCCCACTTGAGAGCACTCGGAGTGGAAACAGCCAGCCGGGAATCCTGAGAAGAGGCTCTGCCATCGCTCTGAAGAGGACGCCAGCCAGGCCCCTCTGCCAGAATTCAGCTGCAGACAATCGAAGGTTCTTTCAGTGTCCACAGCTCTGCACGCCCACAACGCGGTATCCCGGGCAGAACTCAGAATGGAACGCCGAAATGAGCTCAGGGAGAAGAGGGCAGAAGAGGGTAGGTCCGGAGACTGGAGGACGAGGAGGCGGGGCCACTGAGAACGCAGCTGAGGCAGAGAGGTGATACATGGCAGCTGAGAGAACAGGGGGCAAAAAGAAATGGGCTGGGTTCCCTAAATTGCAGTGCAAAACTGCTCAGTTTATACAGTTTGTGGCAGTTCCTGGCTAAACGATTTTTATTTTAATGGCTATGGGTGTTCTTTTTCTAGCAAACTTCTGTTTATGACAAATGAACCTTGCTTTCCATACTTGACGAGAACTAATATAGTGGGTAAGAGCATAGTGCCATGTGACTGTGTGTCTTAGGGCAAGTCCCATAACCACCTCTGTGCTTCAGTCTCCTCATCTGCACACGGGATAATAACAGAACCTCCTTTGTAGTATTGTCATGAGGATTAAAGTAATTACTGTACATAAAGTGCTTAACACAGAGACTGGCACTTAATGACACGATATAGGTTCAGTATTAGAAAACAGGATTACAATTTCCTTTTTAAGTAAGTTTAAAAATGAATCAATGTAGAGTATTTGGAAGGACAGATGGTTTATGGACATGGCGGAACTTGAGAGCTAACACAAAAATGTCTGAATTTGGCAAAGATTTTCAAACTCTGCTCTCCAGAACCCCAGGATGGTCCACATCCGCTTTATAGATGGGCCTTCAAGATGTGTGGGCAGCGTGCTGTGATTAAAAACAGCGTTTGTAAACTACACAGCTGAGAGTTTAGAAGAAAGAAAAGCCAGTGAAGATGTTGATTCTTCAGGGTGGAGACACAGGAGAGGATGGTGAGCAGTTTAGCCATAAAAGGGTTAAACCCAGTCAGACTTCCAGCAGAAAGGTGAATGGAGGTCAGAGTCCAAGAGGAGTTCTTGCAATGAGGCGGACATGGGAAGACAGCCGGGGGCCCAGGATTAAAAGGATTTGGTTCCCCAAGAAACAAGGGGAACTGGAAAGCAACCAGAGAGGTGAGGCAAGGAGGAGCAGAGTCTAAGGGCTGGGCCAGAGGCACAGCAGCAGCCTCCAGGGCCTGGAATGGGAGCGGAGACAGGCGCACCAGGGCCAGGCCAGCTAAATTCGAAACCACCCACCTGGTTCCATGCAGGCAGGGCAAGGGCAAAGGGTGACTCTGACAGTCCACGTGCCATAAAAGCCATGTTGTCACGGATGAGCAAGCCTGACACAGTCCAGTGGGGGTAGGAGTGGGCAGCAAAGCAGATGAGTGGGAGGACCAGAATCCCTGGCCCCAACACGAACCCTTGGCCATCTCTGTGAGAGGAGCTTGACTGGGGCTGCCTCCAGGGCCCCATTTGGTCTCAGAATCACGGCCACTGCTCCTTTAACTTACCCTGTGCCAGGCCCTGTGCCAAGCACTGATTAGATTAATTTAGAGTCTTCCTCTGGTGAGTCAAGAAATCATTCGAGACAGATGACTTTTTAAAAAGGGGGGATGCGTTGGGAGGATGCAGGAGTATCTCTTGACCCCCAAGTCCGGAGGTAGCTGTCCACACTGGGTTCCACTGGCCACGGGGAGCGGAGGGAGACAAGGCACAAGCAGCAATGTGACTGCTGTGGTCCTTCACGGTGCTCCTGAGGAGGCGGTGGCCCTCAGGAGGCGTGTGGATTTAAATCCGGTTTTGTTTGGCTCCAAAACCCAGCGCTGGCCCTTGAAGGGGAGGGCAGGGACAGAGGGGCTGTGTTCCCCACGCCCATGGGACATCGGGACACGGACAAAACAGAGCTCCATGGGAACAGGAAGACTTTACTTCGCCGCCAAGGGAACCTCACAGCGACCCCTGCACACCCCGCGCCCTCGCTCTCGGACTGGGCACGCAGGGCTCCCCAGCCCCCGGAGGAGGAGGGCGCCGGCTGGGAGGGCTGGGAGGACGGGGACCTGAGGCTGAGGCTGAGCCTGGCTCAGAGGTGGGCAGGGGGCTGGGGCGGTTCCTTCCGCCCCTCGCCAGCAATGGGCCGGCCGCGCTCCTCCCAGAGGGTGAGGCCGTCGCAGGCGCAGATCCGCTTGGGGTTCTGGAAGAGGCCGGCGGAGCGCGCGATGATGCCACAGGCCAACCTGCGGGGGAACGGGTGGTCAGAGCGGGCACTTGTCCGGGCCGCTTGCGGGGTCGGCGTGCGCGGCTGGCAGAGCTCAGCCTCCTGCCCGGGCGGCATGACCCACCTCTCTCCTGAGTTCCCCGTGACCTTCGATAAGGGATGGCCGCCCCGGCCCAGGTCGTCTTCTCCCTCATCGATGACCAGGCTTCGGCCAATCACATCCCATACCTTTGAGGGGGACGACAAATGGTGTCAGACGGTACACCCACCTGGGGGGAAAGGCCCCCCCCCTTTGCCTCCAGCTCACCTTCAGCTGCCCATCCTCCATCCTGAAGACGGCCTGGCCATCAGCGTCAGCGTGGACGTTCCCCAGGTCCCCCCGGTGCTGCAGTGAGACCGGGGGAAGCGCACATGGAGCCCAGCTGCAAGGCTCTGGCTTCTTGAGATCTGACTCTCCCCAAAGGACCAAAGCCTCCCCAGCTGCTGTGCGGGGAGGATGAAGTAATGGCCCAGGACACAAGGAAGCCAACCGGAGGCTCCCTCCCCTGGGACCGAAATCCTGGGCAGGGTGAGGGCACCCTGAGAAGGGCCGGGGACCCCTTCCTAGGAAGCCATGACCCCTGGACCTACGAGGCCGCTGCCAGCCTGGCCTCCTGGCCTCGGAAGCTAACCCCCTTCCTGCTTCTTCCAAGCCCAGTCCTCCGGCCTCCCGATGACTCTGAGCCCTTGGCAACCCGCACTTCCTCTGGGCTTAAGCTGGCCACGCCTGGCTTCCTGACCCTTAGGGGCAGCCGGCATCCTTTCCCTGGCGTCCAGCCTCCGGGAGCAGCGGGAAGAAACACAGGGCAAAGGCTGGCTCTGCCCCGAAGGTAATGGAGATGTGACACATCTCCGGGCATCTCCTAACTCAGACACCCTCTACCAGGCATGGGGGGTGCACAGGCAGGCACCAACCCTCAAGGGTTCGCAGCTCAGTGGGAGCCCGATGTGGAACAGACGAGTGACTGTGACACACACACACACAGGGCTAATGCAACAGTGTGTGTTCTAGTGACATGACCTGCTGATGAGCCACAGGGACTCACATCTGTGCAAGTAAACTGTCCCCAACCTGACACCTGGGCAGAAGCAAGTGCCTACGCCTCTGTGGGAAGCAAAGCATGTCACCGTATGACGGTTTGACAAGCAGCAGGGAGAGCCGTTTCTCCTTGTTTCCCAGACAGGCGTCTGCTGCCGACATCTGGCTTTTTGGCTACATCCGTGTTGGGGCTTTTACGGTAGAAAGAAGGCGGGGAGACGAGGACTCAGAGCCCTGGGGAACCTTTTCAGGACGTGGCTGAGGGAGCAGCAGCAGGAGTGCGGCTCCCAGGTGCGCCCGGTAGAGGGTCCGGAGAGGCAGTCCTTCCAGTCCCTCCCCGACACAGCGGGCGGAAGTGGGCCAAGCGGCCTCGATGTCACACCACGCAGCCCAGCAGGGCCTGTGCCCTCAGGCACTGGGGAACCAAGAAGGGCTTCCGGCTGGGGCGTGACATGGTGACCCCAAGCTCCGGAGCAATCCCTCCAGTACAGAAGCACTGAGCACGAAGAGCAAGGAGCGGGGCAAGGAGAAAAGGGAAGGAAGCTGAGGCCGCTTAGGAGACTTGAAACAGGACAACCAGGCTTGGATGTAAATTCCCACATTGAACTCTTTCCATCTGGCCGAAACCAGATGTTGAAATCCACAAGGACCCTGCCAGTCGTCATGGCCGCCTTGGCCATGCAGCTCTTGCTCAAGTCTTCCTCCGTCTACACCAAGGGCTTGGGCACCACAGAGCAGCTGGCTCCAGCCCCTTCTGATTCTCGGCCCCGAGAGGGGCCCGGACTAGGGCCTACGTCACGGGGTGGCCTCTTGCTCTTCAAAAACCTTCACTTTGCCCTAACCAGTTTGGCTCCGTGGATAGAGCATCAGCCTGAAGACAGAAAGAAGGGTCCTAGGTTCAATTCCGGTCAAGGGCATGTACCTTGGTTGCGGGCACATCCCCAGTAAGGGGTATGCAGGAGGCAACTGATGGATGTTTCTAACTCTCTATCCCTCTCCCTTCCTCTCTGTAAAAACTCAATAGAATATATTTTTAACAAACAAAAAACCTTCACTTCATGAGAGACTCGGGCTGTCATTCCCAGATGCAGGTTCACGTCTCGAGGGCTCTGCCTGCGGTGTTTCCTCTGCTGAGCCTGCCATTCCCGCTCCTGTGTGTCAAACCTGCCCCCTTGCTGCTCAGCCCCTTTCCAGGCTCAGCGGGGAAGTCGGCCTGTGAGGTGACCTCCCTGTACTCACACCCTGTGTGCTCCCCTGAGGGTGGGCTGTGCCTGGTGTCACTGCCACGGTTAGGTTACAGAAGAAAGCTTGGCTTCGGCTTTGGATGCCCTCTCACTCCCTTGCTCAAGGGAAACCAGCTGCTGTGCTGTGACCTGCCCTGGGTGAGGCCCACGTGGCAAAGGACTGATGTTTGGCCAACAGCCATGGAGGCCCTCGGGCCTGCCCACAGCAACACGAGCCAGTGTGAGGCGGATCCTCCCGCCCGGAGCATGGAGATGGCGGCAGCCCCAGCCAGCACCTTGGCTGCAGCCTGAGGGACCCCAAGCCAGAGGCCCCAGCTAAACTGCACCCACAGAGCATGAGGTGATAAATGCTTGTGGTTTCAAACCCCTAAGTTTGGAGTCATTTGACTCACAGCAATATATAACGGATGCACTAAACACAAGCATGCCAAGGTGCAATGGATGCGACAGGAAGGCTTCTCAGACTCCGGGGGTGGGTGTGGGTAGGGGGGTAGTAAAAACTTTTGACCATGAGAAATGTGACAGTAGTCAAAAGTAAAAAAAAAAAAAAAAAAAAAAAAAAAAACAGTTACATGAATTATAAACACACACCATGTTTTCATTTGTGTTGTGGCAGAAGGTCCTGGGAGGGGGGGGCGGGGTGAAGAGTAGTCCCCAGCTCCCAGGACCAGGATCCTGGTACTGAAACCCACGTAGGGGGCACACACAACGCAGGAAGTGAAGTAGGTGGCATGAGGTGTGTGAGGACAGGCCGTTCGGAAACATTAAATCTCTTGTTTGACACCCAGGACAAGTTTCCACTTGGGTGTTCACAGGCCTTTAACACCCTCGGACATTTGCTAATCACTTTAAACAAAGATAAAGGGACCTCATTTCTGCAATGACCCTCCTATTAAGACTGCAAGTACTGGTTTTTCATTCTCTGTGGCAAGATCAAGTGTCTGGTTAAAATAATCAATCTACCTTCATTATATAAATTAATGTCCTGCTTTGATTCAAAATAATGGCGAAGGGCCTGGGGTGCAGCTGAAACAGGCCTGGCCTGAGGCGGTGGCTGCTGGCGCTGGGGAGCAGGGGCCCGCGGGGTCAGGACAGTAGATTATCTGCTTCAGAATGTGCCTGAAACTCCGGGACAGACTAAAGCACTGAAAATAACCCAATCTACCTAAAGAAAAGCAACGAGTTAACTTAAATCCAAACATTGAGTAACTAACAGAACAAGCAGTGCTGAAGTAGGGCAAACATCATGTAGGCAACACGTGACTCACTGTCCATGAAAAAAACATTCCTCTGGTGAAAATGAAAATCTGGGACCGGCAGCTGGAGCATTGGGGAATGGCTGCTCAGTTTAGGTAAAACCTTCAACTTCTACGCAGTCACCTCCCCAGGAAGCTTTCCCACTGCTCACGCCCCCTAGGGCTGCGCCAGGGGCTGGCTCTGGGCTCCCGGGGGGCCTCCAGACGGGATTCTCACGGGGCTGCAACCAGAGCAGCTCAGTGGTCGCCCAGCCATTGACAGAAAGGGCAATAAATGCTCCTAACGGGAACAAAATAAGGGAAAAGACCCCCACCAACAAGGAATCTCACTCAGAGGCCCCAAGGGCTGCTTGGCTGTCTCTGCAGAGCGTGGGCTGTCTCAGCCTAAGCCTCACAGAGCTGGACACTTACCCGTTCAGCGTCCTGAGGGCCCCCGTGAGATGTTCCATCAGGGTTAAAGTGGTCCCCACAGCTAAAAGAAAAGGTAGCAGGTAGGCAGTGAGAAAGCAGCTCACAGGCCAGGTGATGAATCCTCTTACTTTAACTACATTTGTTTCTTTCTATCGTTCATTCATTCACTCATGCATGCATGCATGCATTCATTCAACAAACAGGCTCACTCTATGCCAAGCTTTGGGTTGAGAGTACAAAGAAGAATCGAACATTGGTCCTGCCCTCAATAAGCCCCTAAGGGAGACACAAATGAGTAAACAACTAATAGTATGACAAACACCATGGCACAGGGAGTCAACGTGTCCAGGAGTCCCCTTCCGTCTTAGCGACAGTAAGGCAGCTATGAGCAGGATCACCAGGGTCAGATTTTGGTTTAAATCCCCACTCTGCTATTTACATGCTCTGGGGCCTTTGACAAATCATTTAACCTCTTTGAGCCTCAGTTTCCTCATCTGTAGAATGGGCTTGTGTGCATATGCCTCACAGAGTACTTATGAGGACCAAGTGTGAAAGTGTGTGTAAAGGGCTGAATATAGCCCCCTGCACATAGTAAGTGCACAACTGGGGTGATAAGGATGCTGCAAGAGAGGTTACGGACAACTTACCTGTGGCAGTGCCTTGTGAGGTCTCCGAACTGATGCACATGGAGTCCATGTGGCCCAGGCTCCAGGCCATCAATGGTTCCCTCAATGAGGCAGCGCTCAGGGGTCAGCTGTAGGAAGCGCACCACCCCCTGCACAGGGCCAGGGCCCCCTAGAATGGCCACTGCTGCCCCCAGATTCTCTGCAAGGTATTAGACACCTGGGTTGGTTTGCCACCTCACCCAGACCCACCTCTTCATCAGCTGGGGAAGGGCACGGAGAGAGCCCCCCATAACTCTCACACCTTCTCCAATGTCTCTCCGACCCACAGCCACAAAACCCTGCGGTTAGATTTATACCAGTCCCTGGCCGCCTCCCTCCCTCCCGGAGAGGCAAGGCCAAGGTCACAGTAGTTACTCACGCAATAGGCCAGTGCCCATGCCCTTGAGTACCGCCTGCCGCCCCGTTCCTTCTAAGAGGGCCTGCACCTCCTGGCTGGGCAGGGTGGTCTGCACCAGGACCATCTGGTTCTCCAACTGCACCTCTACACTCTGGACACCTGGGAGGAAAGAAGGGGCGAGGGCAGCAGAGGGCGGCACCCGGTGCTGGGCACAGGGAGGAGAGAAGCAGAGGGTGACTCCCGTGCCCATCTTCACCAACCTCGCATGGCTGGAGGCAGGCTCGGAGGTTGCCTCCTAGCAGTGTAAGGACCTTAACCTCTCTAAGGCTGTTTCTTTATAAAGAAAGTGAGGATAATGTCACCACTTCCGGGACTGTAGTGAGTCCTTCTTACATGCCGGGCATTTCTATCACTTTTGAAACATACATAATTTAAAAATATATATATATATATTATCGATTTTTTACAGAGAGGAAGGGAGAGGGATAGAGAAACACCAATCAGCTGTCTCCTGCACACTCCCTACTGGGGATGTGCCCACAACCAAGGTACATGCCCTTGTCTGAAATCGAACCTGGGACCTCTGAGTCCACAGGCCGACACTCTATCCACTGAGCCAAAGCGGTCAGGGCCGTACATAATTTTTTTAATGTTTTTATAAAAGTGGGCTAACAGAGCAGCATTATTCGTAATAGCCAAAGGTGAAGACAATCCAAATGCCCATCCACCGATGGATAAAAAAGGTGGTGTTTCTATACAGTGGGATACTATTCAGCCATAAAAAGGAACGAAGCTCTATGTACTACAACATGGATGAACCTCAGAAATATTGTTATGAAAAAGCCAGTCCTAAAAGGCCACGTCTTAGATGATGCCGTTCTGGAGGAAATGTCCAGAATAGGTAAATCTATAAGGGCAGAGGGAGATTAGGGGGTAGGGGAATAGGAAGGTAGTAACTAACGGGATCAGTTTCTTCATGAGGTGATGAAATTTAATTGATGGCTACACACCTCTGTGAGTATACTAACCACCACTGGACTGTATACTTTAAATGGTGATTCTGTGATATGTGAAGTTACATCTCAATAAAGCTCATACATACAGAAGAAAGGGTTCTAGCACCATCATCATGAGAGCTAAACATGTACGGAGCATGCACTGTGGAGTTTTTCATACTTTACCAAAAACTAACTCCTTCCACACTCAAGTAACCCTGTGAGTTGAGTACTATTATCCTCACGTTACAGATGAGGAAACTGAGGCACAGAGAAATTAAGAACCTTGCTCAAAGTCACATTGTGGTAAACCGTGGAACTGGAATGCATCCCAGGCAGCCTAGCTCCAGAGCCGGAGCACTTCCCCTGGGCACTGCTCCCCTGACAAGCAGCTCCCAGCGGGAGCCTCCCCTCGGCCCTCCTGTGGCAGCTGCCACTTCCCCTCATAACTCACGCGGCACTCATTTCAGTCCTGTGAGGGCAGGAGTCTGTGTTTCACGAGGGTCAGGTTCAAGAGTCAGTATGTCTCCACTGCCCCCCAAGACTCCAGAGTCCCCCCTGTGTGCACGCAGCCCGTGGGGTAATTCTGACACGTGCTGAGATTTGCAGAGAATCAGGCCAACTCAAAACCGGAAGAAAGGGGCTTCTCTTTCGTTCAGATATTCAGGGCTCCCAAGCCTTTTAAGAGAACTCTTGAATCCTCTAATGCTGCTCTCACCTGTGGGGCTTACACTCATTCTCTTGTTCTTTTTTTTTTTTTTTTAAGGGTCTTGCAAATCTTCCCTGTATTACTCCGCTTTTAGTATACGTGCTGCCTCCGTGAGAGTGTTTGCTGCGCTGGAGTGGAAAGCCCGGGGGAGCCTGGGCAGGCCAGAAGATGGGTTACCTTTTTTTTTTTTTAATCTATTTTATTGGTTTTTCACAGATAGGAAGAGAGAGGGATAGAGGGTTAGAAACATCGATGAGAGAGAATCATTAATCAGCTGCTTCTTGCACACCCACTACAAGGGATGTGCCCGCAACCAAGGTATATACCCTTGACCGGAATCGAACCAGCTACCTCTCAGTCTGCAGGCCAACGCTCTAACCACTGAGCCAAACCGGCTTTGGCCAGCAGGTGGGTTAAATGAGGCACTTCATGTCATGTTCAGCTGGCGCCCTGGGAACTGAATGCTACTGACCATTGGCCTTCCCTCTATCTTCGGTTTCCCTCCTCCGTATTCTTCTAACAAATGTGTACTTGGCATGGAGGAGGCCAGCGTCAGGAAAAGTACTGATCCTCATTCTCAGGGAGCTCACGGGCTGTGCGGGAACTCAGGCTATGCCCCAGTTAACCAGCAGGCAGAGAGGGGAACGACAGCTGTGGGTCAGACAAGGTGCCGGCTCAAAGGAGACAGAACTGAGAAATGCAACTGGGAGGAGGCAGCACGTGAGAGACAGGGATATTTGGGCTGCGAGAACAAGGCAATGCTGGGAGCTTTGGAGATCTTGTTCCCCGGCACATATCATTAGTTTGGCTCAACTAAACTCACAAAAAATTTCTCTAAAAAAGGAACAGGGCAATTCTGTGAAAAGGAAACCCTACAGATAACCAAACTGTCCCTCCCTCCACACAACATCTCATCCTGGGCAGCCTGCGATGCCTGGGGGTTCCAGATCCACCTAGAGGTGCCTCTTGACACGAGGGGGCTGTGGGGAGGATGGTGGGGCAGTTTTGTGGCCCTGGCCTGCAAGGTATGCCAAGGGCTGTGTGCCCTGCTTTGCACACATCAGGAGGGGGACACTGTCCTCATCTGGCAGGTGAGACGACGAGGCCAGAAGGTTACACAACTGACCTGAGGTCACAAAGCTTGGAAGGCAGCCTAGCCTGTCCAGACCCAAAGCTGACGCTTGGTTCCTTCCCTGGCCTCACGTTAGTAGGGTCTAAGAGATCTGCCTACCTCTCCCAGAGGCCTCTCTGCACGGTTCTCAGAAAATGTCCTGGCTCTTACCTGCCACCCCTTGCAGGGACGCGCGCACTGCGTCCACACAGCTCTGACAGGTCATCTGCACGGCGAACTCCAGCTGCAAAGACGGCAGGGACCGGCCGATGAGAGCTGAGAACCCCTCTGGCGTGACCCCGTTTCACTACCTCCCCTGCCACCACCCCAGAGGCCGGGGCGAACGCCCGACCCCTCCTCGAGCGCCTTCTTCATTATCTATCACCCAGTCGTTTCAGGACGCCGCCCTCCCACATGAAAGCCGAGGACTCTCCCACTATCGCACTTTCCACGCCGGGTCCCCAGGTCGCCCCACTCCCGGTGCCCGCTTCTCCCTTCCGCCCCCTTCTCCGGTTCACGATCACCCCTAGGGGGCGTGGCTCTCTGTCCCGCGAGGCTCCTGCCTAAGGCGTCTGCCCTCACCGTGCAGGCGGTCTCCCGGTCCCCCGAGTCCGCCGCCATCTCGGACCCGGTCACTGACAGGAGGACCCGAACTGCCAGAGTCCCCACCGCGGCAAACCCGGCGGCGGCACGAGGAGGCGGGGCCTCGGGAGCCAGACTTTGCCCCGCCTCCCGGAGCGCGCGCGCATGCGCACGCAAAGCCCCGCCCACCCCCAGAGTTCCGTGCGTGGCGAGCACTGGCCGCGCAGGCGCACTCTGGCTCTTAGCTCCCTGGTTGCCTTAGTAACCGTTTGGCCGCCCCGACCTCGACAGCTTTCGGCGCCGGCGCCAGAATGAAGCCCTTCAAACCTGAAGCCGAGCTCCAGCAGTTCTATCACCGGCTGCTGCTGCCGCTGTCGCTCTTCCCCAGCAGCAGGACGGCGAGCCCGGAGCCGGCTCCCCCGAAGCGCCCCGCGCTGGAGCTCCCCGTGCTCCCGTTCCTGCCGGTGTCACGGCTGACCGTGGCGTCGCTGTGCCGCCGGGTGGCCAAGCGGCTGGCCCGGTGCGAGCTGGCGGAGCGGGTGCCCGCCGGGGGCCCACAGCGTTTCCTGGAGGTCATCCTGAACGAGCTGAAGTGCAGCTGGCAGGAGCCTCCCGCCGAGCCCAGCCTGAGCCACATCGACAACCAGAGGCTGCGGAAGCGGGTGCTGATGTACGTGCTGCTCAGCTGCGAGCAGCTCTACCTGCGCTACCTGCGCCGGCTGAAGACCATGCCGACCGCCACGCACGTCTTCACGGAAGCCGCCACGGTCACCCGGCTGGCCGCCCACCTCGCCAGGGACTGCACCACCTTCCTCACCAGCCCCGAGGTCTACCGCAGCCTGCTCGCCGACTTCCGCTCCCTGCTGAAGCTGGAGCAGGCCCGGGGCGGCCTCTGCAAGGTGCGCTCCTCCGGACGCATGTCCACTTCCAGGGCTCACGGGCCCCGCAGCTCCAGCTTTGCCCAAATACCTGACTGCAACCTCAGCCTCAACTACCTCATCCAACTCAGCCGCTCGCGAGAGTGTCTCAGCGAGACCAGACCCGATCCTGTGAAGGAACTGAAGTCCATCCCTCTGCTGAAGAGGAGGAGGACTCTCCGCTGGCTGCCTGGCATGCGAAAGAAGGTAGAAAGCTGCACTCCCTCACAGGTGGGGTCGCTGCCCAGGTACTCGGTGACTCTCACCAGCCTGTCTCCCGGTGTCTCCTATCCGCCTCTCCACGCCCGGCTTCAGAAGGCCCAGTCCATGCCCTCTCTGCGTGAGGGCTGGAAGCTGGCAGATGAATTGGGCCTCCCTCCACTCCTCCCTCGTCCCTTGACCCCACTGGTCCTGTTCGCAGAGAGCAAACCCGAGCTGGTAGAGGACATGGTGGCCGAGGACCTGAAGCAGATAATGAAGAACATGAAACTGGAGCGGGCTCCCTACTCACCGATGGACTCAGATGTGTCCCCGCTCCTGGGGGCCCTGACCCACGACCCAGCCACGGCACAGCGCATAGCAGAGATGCAGAGGATGCTGAGTGAGGAAGAAGAAACCTCTGGGCAGGGGGGCCCCCAGCTCCCCACACCCCCTCCACTTCACCCACAGCCGGTGACAGTTACTTTGAAGCTAAGAAATCAGATGGTGGTCCTGGCAGCTGGCGTACAGGTCTCTGAGAGAAAGTTTTTGGACTCCTTCCACATAGAAGGGGCTGGAGCCCTATACAACCACCTAGCTGGTGAGCTGGACACCACAATGATCGAGGAAATGGATATTGATCGCTTCGTTGGGAACAGCATCCGGGAGGTCTACAAAGAGCTGATGAGCCGTGTCTCTATCAACCACTTCTCATTCGACCAGGGATCCTTGGTTGAGCCTGCAACCAATAAAGACTGGTCCATGTTCCTGTTCTCAGCTCTTCTGCATCTAGAGAAGCAGCATCGTGCCATCAACCCCAAGCTGGCCGGTCTTTCTCCCAAGAGATTATCAACTGTGCATTCCTCTATTTCATCATCCCAAGGAAACAAAGACCTGGAGGGACAGACAAACAAGGCCTTGGGGACGAACTGGTCGAGAAACGCCTTGTCGTTGAATGACTATTTCAAATACCTCACCAACCAGGAGACAGATTTCCTCCACGTCATCTTCCAAATGTACGAAGAGGATGTTCCTAAAGAGATGGAGGCCCATGTCACAGAGTCGCTAAAGATTCAGCCCCCACCTCCATTGCTAGAGGACGAAGAGCCAGATTTTGTGCCGGGAGAGTGGGATTGGAACACGGTGCTGGGGCACAGTCTAGAAACCGGGAGGACCAGCCTCCTGGGAGAACCTCGCAAACTCCTGAATCTGCAGAAGCGTCTGGAGCGGTTGTGGTCCACTCTTGAGGTTCCTGACAAGGACCGGCTGGACATGGCTATCAAGTACAGCTCCAACGCCCGTCTGATGCAGCTGCCTTTATTGGTGAGCGCCTGGGAGCAGACCCTGCAGCCCATTCAGCTGCGGGAGATAGTGATGGGGAAACTGGAGTGGTTTGAGCGACTCGCTTCTGACCCCAACCGTTTCTTCCAAAAGACTGAGATGGATCTGACTCGCTTATTGGAGGAGAATCAAGTCCGAAACCGCCTACACAAGAAGCTCAATCAAATGGAGGCTCCATTGGTTTCACTCCTAGAGGAGGTGGAGGTTGTCTTTGGTGAGCCGGTGACGTTCAGGGGGCAGCGCTACCTGGACAAGATGAAGCTCGACAGAGTGGAGATGCTCTATTGGCTGCAGCAGCGGCGACGGATGCACCAACTGGCCGGGACCCAGAAAGCCTCCCTCCGGTCAGCCATATTCTGCAGGCTCAGCAGGCAGCCTGTAACACCCCGCAGGAGTACTCCTAGGCCAAGTACCCTCTAACCCCTCCCTCAACCCCCCCACCCCAGCAGCTCATCCAGATCTCTTGGTTGCTTGGAAAGAAGAAATATCTGGGAGTGCAGGGTTCAAGAACATAGTGTTCCTAACTGCCAAGGGACTGAGATCAACACTTTATTTTGACAGTGAAATTCTCCCAAAAGAATCCCCAAGGCCAGTATTCCCATTTTGTCACGCTAAGCACAGTACAGCCAACATCTCATGTGTCAAAAGAACTGAGACCGTCGCTTGGAGTTCATTGTAATGGAAAACCATCAACTTTGGAATAGCTGGGCATTTCTATCATGCTACATTAAATGGGCTGACAGAGACCCAAATCAGAAGGCTCTGTGGCATAATGGTTAAGAGCTAGTTAGCAGAAGTGGGTTTAAATTCTGGCTGTGTACAAACTACTTAACTGCTCTGCACCTGGACCACCGTATGTCAGGTGAAGCGTTGAGTCCAGGTAGTCACTTCTTCCAGTTTTAGCATAAAAATGTTTATTAAAATTTCAATCAATTAATACAAGCATATGGTACAAAGTATACAAGGGAATGTACTGAAAAGTAAAACTCCTTCCCATTCTTACCTCTTAATAACTGAGTTCCCCTCCCTGAGGGTTACAGCTGTTAACCAGTTTCTTGTGTATCTTTTTTTTTTTTTTTTTAAATGTTTTATTGATTTTGTACAGAGGAAGGCAGAGAGATAGAGAGCTAGAAACATCAATGAGAGAGTCATCGATCAGCTGCCTCTTGCACACCCCCTACTGGGGATATGCCCGCAACCAAAGTACATGCCCTTGACCAGAATCGAACCCGGGTCCCTTCAGTCCCCAAGCCGACACTCTATCCATTGAGCCAAACCGGTCTCGGCTTGTGTATCTTTTTCATTCCCTTTTCCAGCAAATAATTATTGAGCACCTAATAGGTATTTTATGCTTGGTTTTAACACTGAACAAAACAAAGATCCTTACCCTTTGCGGTTTACATTCTACTGGAGGGAAATAGACAATAAGCCATAAACATAGCACCTAAACATGCTGAATAGTAAAATGTTAGCCGTTGATAAGAACCTTGAAAAAAAGAAAAAGAGTAGGGTAAGAGGAAATAAAGTGTGAGGGATGTCGTTCTAATTAGGGTAGTCAGTACAGGTCTCCTTGGGAAGGGGAGATTTGAGCCAAGAGTTGAAGGAGGGGAAGAAGTGAGCTCCGTTTAGGACAACATTGCAAAACGCTAAGGCAGACAGGTAAGTGGGTGTCTCAGAAGCAAGGTGGCCAGCTGAAACCGGTTTGGCTCAATGGATAGAGCGTCGGCCTGTGGACTGGAAGGCCCAGGGTTCGATTCTGATCAAGGGCATGTACTGTGGTTGTGGGCACATCCCCGGTGGGGGGACGAGGGGATGCAAGAGGCAGCTGGTTGACGTTTCTCTCTCATCGACATTTCTAGCTCTCTATTCCTCTCCCTTCCTCTCTGTAAAAAAATCAATAAAATATATTTAAAAAAAAAAAAAAAAAAAAAAAGGGAAAACAAAAAGAAGAAAGCAAGGTGGCCAGTGTAGGAGGAGCAGAGCTGGGGGAAAGATAAGTCAGAGGGGTCATGACAAGGTGCCAAGGAGCAAGTCAGGCCAGATAAGGCCTCCGAGGCCGTTGTATAAACTATAGCCTGTGCACATGAGCCTGTGTATTATCTATGCATATGTTTATCACTAGCATGCTGTACCTCTGGTTTTTAAACTATTTTTATTTTATTTTTTGAGAGATATTCACTTTTTATTCCACTTATTTATGCATTCATTAGTTGATTCTTGTATGTGCCCTGACTAGGGATCGAACCTTCAATTTGGTGTATCAGGTCAATGCTCTAACCAACTGAGCTACTCGGCCAGGGCTGTACCTCTGTTTTGCTCCTTTCTTTTTTCATGTAACATGCCTCAAGCTCATTCCATATCAATGTACATTGAGGTGCCTTCTTGTTGATAGCTATATAGTATTCCACTGTGTATATTTTTATTTATTATTTGACATTTACAAACAAAAAAAATGCTCTAGAAATCCTCATTTATCTATTTAGGGTTACTACTATTTCTATAGTTTAAATTCCTGAAAGTAGAATTTAAACTATAGAAATTAGGTTGCAGGCACATCCCCAGTAGGGGGTGTGCAGGAGGCAGCTGATCGATGTTTCTCTTTCATTGATGTTTCTAACTCTCTCCCTCTCCCTTCCTCTCTGTAAAAAGTCAATAAAAAAAAAACAAAAAAAAACTTTCTTTCCAAAACAGGCAGTCTGCCAGACATGGTCCTCAGGTTGTAGTTTGCTAACCAAAGTGCAACAGCATCAGGCCCTTTAAAATGTGTGCCTCTGAGTCACGCCTGTCAGGACTAGACTAGGTGATCTTTAGCATCGGTTTCCCTCACTCTCCACGTATAAGGTAACCCTCCACCACTCTGCGACTTCTCCAACTCCTTCAAATGCTCTCTTCCCTTTCCTTCGCCCTCAGCTTGGCGTGTCATGCCGGAACATTTCTTTTTCTCATCTGCCTCTGCACCTGACTGTGAGCTCCAGCAGACTGCACTAACCTAATGTAACTGTTCATGCCACTGTTACCCAATCAAATGGTTTGCCCTTGGGGTGCTCTAGATTCAAGAAGGAGATGTGTCTGCCCTAGCTGGTTTGGCTCAGTGGATAGAGCGCTGGCCTTTGGACTGAAGAAGGAGGTGTGGTTGTTGCAAGGTAAAGAAGAGGGGATTCATACCCAAAGCTCCGTCTCCCAGAAGCTTACCATTGCTTACATACCCTATTTGGTCAAGTACTCATTGATTCATTGATTTCAGTTGGCTTAATGTCAAGCTCATCCTATTTACAGCTGGCCTGCAAAATACTGTGCCACATTTTAATATTTAGCAGGAATAGCATTTAGTAGGAATTGCCCAGACCTTGAGACCCTTGTCCTAACATCTCCTCTTGCTAGGCCCTGAGACCCAAATGGCTGCATGGTTTTGTTTGACCCTCACAATAGCCTGAGGAACTAACTGCCAATCCTGGAATATTAGCTGCCATTTTGCTGATGAGAAGAGAGGCCTCAAAGAAGAGTCGAACTGTGAATCCAGGCTCTGAGGCCAACTCTCTGGGTTCAAGTCCTGCTCCATCACTAGTCCGATGTTTGGTAAACAGCTTAATCTCTCCAAGCCTCTATTAATTATTAAATTGGGATTACATCTACTTCGCAGGATTGCTACAACGATTACATGGTAACATAATAAAAATGCAATAAACGTTAGTTACTTTTTTATTTTTTATTTTATTGATTTTGTACAGAGAGGAAGGAAGAGAGTTAAAAACATCGATGAGAGTCATCCATCAGCTGCCTCCCGCACACCCCCCACTGGGGATTACATGCCCTTGACCGGAATCGAACCCGGGACCTTTCAGTCCCCAAGCCGACCCTCTATCCATTGAGCCAAACCGGTCCTGGCACGTTAGTTACTTTTATTCTTCGGCTAGCTCCAGAGACCTAAAAGGATTATTCCCAGGCTGGGGGCTCCTGCAGGCCAGGGTTGTGCCAGGACCCAACGGCCCCCGCCGGGCTGGACCCCACCCACCTGCGTAGTCAGCGCGCCCCACGTGCCTCGCGTAAATAAATGAGTGCGCAGGCGCCCCAGGCGGGCGTTCATTGGCCGGCGCCCGGGAGCGGGGCGGGGCTTCAGGTCCCGAGGTCTTAGACGACGCGGTGGTCCCGCCGCCGGCTTCGCCCCCGCGATGGCGCGCTGGCTGCCGCTGGTGTGGCTGCTGGGGCTGCTCCCGGGCGCTGCCCCCGCCCCGCCCCGCCGAGACGCCGGCGCGCAGGCCTGGGCGCCCGCGGCCCCGGAGCTGCTGCGGCGGCCCGTCCGCTTCGCGCTGGACACGTACAGCCGCGGCCTGGCCGCCGGGGCGCGCGTCGTGCCGGGCGCCGTGAGCGGCCGCGTCCGCCGGGTGAGGACGGGCTGGGCGGGCGCGGGGCCCTGGTCCGGGAGAGGAACCTGAGCCTAAGCTCAGGGTGGGACCCCTTTGGTTGGGATGGGGGCGGGGGGCGCGGGACCAGGGAGACGGGGCTGAGGTGGGAGCGGCTGTGCCCGCCTCACCCGCCCCTCCACCCAGGCCGGCCGGGGGGCGCTGTACTCTCTGGAGGTGACGCTGGAGGAGCTGCCCTGCAAGGACCCCGCGGCGTGCCAGCTCCCGGTGCCTCAGAGAACCCTGGTGAGTGGCGGGGCTCCCTCAGTCCCCTGCCCCAGGCTCACTCTGGCAGCAGCTGGGACGGCGGGCCCAGCCAAAAGGAAGGGATCTGAGGCCACAGCCACTGGGGTCACTTCCCTGGCCGCGGGCCGGAGGCCAGGCTTTAAGAGATAAGTCGTCTCTCTCCGCGGCGGGGGTGATCGCCTTGGGGATGACCCTCATCTGGGGGCCTCCAGCGCCATCTAGCCGAGGGCCCCAGGCTGGCTTTCTCCTCTCCCCGCAGCTCTGCAGCTTTGAAGTCCTCTCGGAGCAAGGGAAGCACGAGTTGCTGAAGCAGCACTGTGGCCCAGTGGATGCCGAGATCAAAGGTGCTGGAAGAGCCCAAGGTTGCTGGGACAGCCCGGAGCAGACTTCACTCGGGGTTCAGCCTTGATCTCTTTATTCCAATCCTATCCAGGGGACAACAATGAGACGCTCAGTCCATTCCTCCCGCTGTTGGACAGCGACCCTCTACCCCAGGTGAGGAGCCCCTCTCTGGGGTGCTGGCTACTGCCTCGTGTCCCCTCTCTTCCCCTCTCTTCCCCTCACCCTGGCGGGGGTGCCCTGGTCAACCTGAGAAGGACTCCTCGTAAAGACCCCTCTGCCTTTCCAGGACTTTTATGTGAAAATGGCTTCGCTCTTCAAGGACTTCATCACTACCTATAACCGGACATACGAGACCGAGGAGGGTGAGGACCCAGCCCGGGGTCCCAATCAGATCAGGCCTTCCCCCCTTTGGCCCCTTGGTGTTGGGAGGGGAAGGACAGGAGAGGGCGTGCATCCCTTCAGGAACTCCGAAGTCCCCAAGTTCCTGCCCAGTTGCCCAGGACTGGGCGGCTACCTCAGGGATCTGACTCACTCCCACCTGATCTTTCTGGTCAGAAACCACGGGCCTCTATCATTCTGGGGAGAGTGGGATGGGACAAAGGACAGATTTTCTCCGCTGGAGGCCCCTGGCATGATGGCCTTTCCTGTGACCTCCTGTCTGGGTGCTCTTTGGGGCCCATTCGGGTTCTGTCATCACCCCAGTTTGGCCCCAAAAGTTTATCAACCTTCCAGTCTTATCACTTGCAGGTCTGCCCCCCACCCTTCCCTGCTCCAGGCTCTGTCCTTCCTGAGCTTGCAGAGCCTCCTCCTCCCCAGGGAACCCTCTGCCAGCTAACCCTCCTCTCCTGCTCCCTGGTCCTCAGAAGCCCAGTGGCGCATGTCCGTCTTTATCAACAACATGATACGAGCACAGAAGATCCAGGCCCTGGACCGTGGCACAGCTCAGTATGGAGTCACCAAGTTCAGTGACCTCACAGGTAGGGCTGGTGGCCAGAGCCATCATGGAGCCTAGAAGAGACGGGACCTGTTTCTAAGGCCCCGATCAGGGCTGACTTAGGGGACCCCCCACCCCATCCTCTGCCCACAGAAGAGGAATTCCGCACCTTCTACCTGAATCCCCTCCTCAAAGGGGGGCCTGGCAAGAAGATGCGCCTCGTCAAGTCCGTTGGCGACCCTGCCCCACCCGAGTGGGACTGGAGGAAAAAAGGGGCGGTCACCAAAGTCAAGAACCAGGTCGGACCCCTCCGAAGCGAGGGTGGGACATGAGGATTGTCCTGGGGTGGGAAGAGACCCAGCCCTGACTCCGCCCATCTCTTGCAGGGCATGTGTGGTTCTTGCTGGGCCTTCTCAGTTACAGGCAACGTGGAGGGCCAGTGGTTCCTGAAACGGGGGGACCTACTCTCCCTCTCGGAGCAGGGTGAGCGTCCCGCTGTGCCCCCCTGTGCCCAGCCCAGCTCCTGCCGAGGGCTCCTCGGGACTGGCCTTGTGTCTCCTAGAGCTCGTGGACTGTGACAGAGTGGACAAGGCCTGCATGGGCGGCTTGCCCTCCAACGCCTATTCGGCCATAAAGACTTTGGGTATGCACTAATGGGGTCAGGAGGGACAGTCGGCCATAAAGACTTTGGGTGTGCAGTAATGGGGTCAGGAGGGACAGTCGGCCATAAAGACTTTGGGTGTGCAGTAATGGGCTCAGGAGGGACAGTCGGCCATAAAGACTTTGGGTGTGCAGTAATGGGGTCAGGAGGGACAGTCGGCCATAAAGACTTTGGGTGTGCAGTAATGGGGTCAGGAGGGACAGTCGGCCATAAAGACTTTGGGTGTGCAGTAATGGGGTCAGGAGGGACAGTGGCAGCCACTCACCCTCCGCCTGAAGTCACGTTTTGTGAGGGGGAGAGACATAAGCATGGGAATCATGTGAACTGATTAAGTCTTCGTGCTGACTCTTCTGGTTGAAGTCCTTGGGCAAGTCAGCTCTTTCAGAGCCTCAGTTGCCTCATCTGTGAAATGGGGCTCATGCCCACCTCATAGGATTGCCTTGAGAGTCAAGTGAGGAAATGTGTCAAGTTCCTGGCACATAACAGGGTCTTGATATTTTTGTTGCTTGGAGGTCTGTGTTTCTAGCTGCTGCTAAACCAGGTAGTAACTCACCTCGCTCTTGAGGAGAGGTGTTGAATTAAATAGGCTAGTCAGTCAAGCAGTGGGCTGCAAGAGAGAAGGATAAAGGCCTGAGTGGCCATATAGAAACTGGTCTGGAAGCCTGAGGATCGGGCCAGATGGGGATCCACACGTGCCCTGCAAGAGCTGGGCAGAGTCAGGGGGCTGAGTCCTCTCAGCAGGATAAGCAAGCCCAGCCAAGAGTCCTGGGAAAGCCGTGACAAGCGAGGAGTCAGCAGTGGGGGCCTGAGCTCATCTCTGCACATTTCTCACTGTTATTCCCTCCGCCCTCTGAGTGGACACTAGATTGAGGCTTTCCCTGGAGGGGATGGATGGCCTGTGTTCTGGGGCAGCCTTGTGGATCAGGGGCTTAGCATAGCCTCTGGCTAGGAGAAGAGGAGTGTATGCTAAACCGAGCCCACCTTTTCTCTGCTTCCCCATCTGCTCCCCACCGTTGCCCAGGAGGGCTGGAGACGGAGGATGACTACAGCTACAGTGGCCACCTGCAGACCTGCAGCTTCTCTGCAGACAAGGTCAAGGTTTACATCAATGATTCGGTAGAGCTAAGCCACGATGAGCAAGGTGAGTGAGGGATGGGATGGGGACAGGCCACGTGAGGCTGGGACCTGGGTGCCCCTGATACTGCCCCTCCCCTGTCTCAGAGCTGGCAGCCTGGCTGGCCACGAACGGCCCCATCTCCATTGCCATCAACGCCTTCGGCATGCAGGTAAGGCCCTAGCCCCACTGCCCTGCTCCATTTCTCGCTGGCTCCTCCCCTTCCTCTCCTTGGAGTTGGCCCGCTATTGCTTATTCCCCCTCCTCAGTTCTACCGCCACGGAATCTCCCGCCCCCTGAGGCTTCTCTGCAGCCCCTGGTTCATTGACCACGCTGTGCTGCTTGTGGGCTACGGCAACCGTGAGTTCTGTGACCCCTCTGCCCACAAACCCAGTCACAGGCAGGACGGAACCACAGCACCCAGGGCCCTGGGGGGAAATCCGGGGGAAGCTAGGAACCTGTCCCCCGCTGTGGCCAGGTGGATGGGAAGGCTGAGGCAGGAGGAGGTTAAACTGTACGGACGACTAGCCGGCATGAGGGGAGTAGATGGGTTCCTTCCTGAACCCCAGAGCCCCGGGTCTCCAGGAGGGTGGAGGGGGGGCTTTTTTTGCTCTGTTCCTAGTAGCTGTCACACAGTAGGCCCACAGCAGATTCGGGCAGAGTGCAGAGTGCTTGGGGCCCTGACTCCTGCACTCCCCCTACTTCCCAGGCTCTGACGTTCCCTTCTGGGCCATCAAGAACAGCTGGGGCACTGACTGGGGTGAGGAGGTGAGTGTTGCCTGCTCAGCCCTGGGCCCTCCAGCCGCCACCCTGCCCTAGTGCCCTCACCACCACCCCCTTCCTCTCTCTTCCAGGGCTACTACTACTTGCATCGTGGGTCTGGGGCCTGTGGTGTGAATGCCATGGCCAGCTCAGCAATAGTGAACTGAGAAGCACCAGCTCAGGACCTGGTGCTGACCAGGGCAGTCTCTCCCCAAGCCTGACCAGCATTTCCAGGCCCCTCCTCAGCTGGCTCAGGGATGGGTGCCGGGTGCCTCAGGGTGAGCCAAGGGCACTGGGCAAGGGGTACAGCCCCTATCCCCTCCCCCCAGGTCCCACTCTGAAGTTCCCCAGCTGCACCTTGGTTATGCTGTGGTAGCTAGGAGGGTCTGGGGTGAAGGATGATGTCTTGGCAGCTGAGTTGGGCCAAGAACCCTGGGCTCAGGCAAGGAACTGGTGGGAAGCAGATATTTTGGTCTTGAATTCAGCTTGTCCTGGCTTCCTGGCCTGGCTTTTCTCTGACGTTGCAAATTCTGGTCCCCTGGAGGAGGGGACAGTGTCCCCTTTCATGTCTAGACAGACTGTTGTAACCACCCTTTTCTAACAGCAATAAAGTGTCCTCACTCCAGTGTGGTGTGAATGCTCCGTCTCTGCGGTCAGGAGGGGTGGTGGGGACCCCTGGAGGGTTAAGGTCAGGCATTTAGTCCTGCCCAGGAGTCCGGGGCCCAGCTTCTGCTCCAGGAACCAAAAGGAGATGGAGTGAAACCCATGATGGATCTTCATTCTGAAAGTTTGCTGCTCGTTCTGAGGGGTCCGTGCTCGGAGAGAGGGACGGGACAGTCAGAGGGAATGCCCTCTTTCCTACTTGCACGGAAACCTTGCCAGGGGCTGCAGTTAGAGGTCATTCTCGCCGTAGAGGGCGCTGGAGAAGGCCACGTAGCCCAGGGCTCCAGCGGGAACCCGGACCCCCTGCAGGGCGTCATTCGTGGGATGCAGTGCTCGGCCTGCTCGGCTGGGAGCTCCCGCCGCAGCTCCTCGGCGGTGATGTAGTTCTGGGGAGAAGAGGTATTGAGGGCCCACAGGTCCTGTTCCCTGCCCAGCCCGCCAGTCCCTCCGTGCCAGGGACCCACCTTGTCTCCCGCCAGGATCTTGAAGGAGGCCACGACCTGCTCAGCTGTATCCATCTCGGCTGTTTCTCGGGTCATGAAGTCAATGAAAGCCTGGAAGGTCACGACCCCGGCTGCATTGGGGTCCACTATGGTCATGATGCGAGCAAACTCCACTTCCCCCTGTAGGGATAGAGGCCGGGCGTCATGCCCACGGGTGCTGACGCCAGGCGGGCTCTGTGTGTCCCCTCCTGAGGACTGTCTGGCTCGGGCTGCACAGCCCCATCACGGGGGCTCCCTTCCCCATAGACTGCAGCTCTGTCAGCTCTGCCTTCAGGAAGGCCTTGCTACGAGGCTGTGTCTGCTCCCTGCTGTGGCGGTGCCCCTTCTGCCCATCCGTCCTGGTCTTTTTCCTGTGGCTCTTGCACTCCAGGGAGTAAAATGTTGCAAACTCAAGCTTTGGAGACACAGAACTACGTCCAAATTTCCAGCCTTGTATCTTTGAACAAGTTAATCTGCCTCTGGGAGCCTTTGGTAGCCCCTGTGTGAAATGGTCTGATTCTGCCTGGCCTCACTGGCTGTGATGAGGAGACAGTGAGACCCTGGGTGTTAATTTGGGGGCACATACAGGACACACGTAGGACGGTCCCGATGGGAGGAGGTGCGGGGCACTCACCAGGTCGTAGCCCATGGAGATGAGGCAAGCCCGGAAATCAGGCTCCATCATCCCATTCCGCTTCTGTGGTGGGCAAGTGGATGTCAGGCCTGGTCCTGAAACTCCACTAGCCCCCAGGTCCACCACCCCACTAGGCGGGGCCCTTGCTGACCCGGGCAAAGTGGTTGAAAGAGGCCCGGAACTCATTGAGCTGATCCTGGCTCAGGCCCTTGGCGTCTCGGGTCAGGACCTGGTTCTCCACCTCGTTGATGGTGCGGGCGATGGAGAGCAGGAGGTGGCTGAGTGGGCAGCCAGTGCCCGGCCACAAATCTAGCTCCACCCCCAACCCACTGTGAGACCCTGCGTAAGACCCTCTCTGGGCCTTTTTTTTTTTTTTTTTTTTAATATATTTTATTGATTTTGTACAGAGAGGAAGGGAGAGAGATACAGAGTTAGAAACATCGATGAGAGAGAGTCATCAATCAGCTGCCTTTTGCATACCCCCTACTGGGGATATTCCCGCAACCAAGGTACATGCCCTTGACCCGAATCGAACCCGGGACCTTTCAGTTCCCAAGCAGACGCTCTATCCATTGAGCCAAAACGGTTTCGGCCAAAAATTGGGGCTTTTTTTAAAACGCCGCGGGACAAAGTGTTAAAAATCGGGATGTCTGGTCACCTTAATTTTGAGCGAAGGGCCTCGGTTATGTGAGAAGGGGCGGGTTTACCGGAGGAGGGGCCAAGGGGGTAGCGAACCCGGTGCGAAGCTGAAGGCAGCGGGCGGCCATGGGGGCGGGGAGGGGTCGTGAGTGGCGGTAGGAAGAGTGTGGGCGGCAGAGCGGGGTCGGGATGAGGATGGGGATAGGGAGGAGAGGAGGAGCAAGTGGTGATGGGGAAGGGCTAAGGGACCAAGGCTGGCTTGCCGAAGGAGGGATAACGGTCTTGAAGGCAATGAGGATCAGGGCGGGGCCGGGCAGGGAGGGGCGTGGTCTCCGGGGCGGCCCTGCCTTGGCCACGCCCCTAGAGCTCCCGGACCACGCCCACCCGGGCTCCGGGCCACGCCTACTTGAGCTCCTGGGCCAGCGCAGCGATGTGCTCCACGCGGTGCTGGTGCGCCGCCAGGTCGCTTTCCAAGGCCTCGTGGCGCCGCATTAACGCCCGCACCTCCTGGAGCGACGCCGACTCATAGTCGCGCTGGCTCAGCATGTCCTCCTTTCCTGCGCAGAGAGAGGAGCAGGGCCCGGGGCAGGGCTGCGTGACCGTCAGTCACATCCTTCATCTGGGAACTGCGGATGATCACACCTGCCTCGCCTACCCCAGCGGTTTGCTTCCCGGCGCTGGCCTCATAGAAGCTCCTGTTCCAGGCCGTGGCCCTAAATGACGTCTGCGTCCCCCGCCCTGCGTGCTGTGGTATCATTTGATGGAGAACTACATCCCAAGGACTCAGCCCGGTGAGCTCCTGAAGTGCTTCCCTCTGCTCACCAGTGTCCCCAGCGCCTGGCATTTGGTAGACCCTCTATGAATATCTGTTGGGTGAGTGAATAATGAACCTAAAAGTGCTCGGAGAATGACAATGACCATCATTACGCAAATAAAAACATTTATAATGGCAGCAGCAACCGTTTACTGAGTGCCTCTGCATTTTGCAGAAAAGGTCATGGAAATTTAGAGGTCTGGAGATCTCAGGGTTACATGAGTGGCCTTATTTTTAAGGGTTTCCTCTTTTATCAAACCATTATGGGTATTTATTATACCCATAATACATTGTTAGTGTTTGTTCATTATTTTTAGGCAGGAGTCATTCATTTGTGGACTAACATCCTGACGGAATGCAGAATGACTGTTCATACAGAGTAATAAATGCATGGCTCATGCAATATTTTGGCATCAGTATACTTTGAGCGTAACGTAAGGGACATTAGGGCTAGGGATTCTCCCTTGGATACGTGCCACATACACAAATACAAGGCTAAATGACAAATACATTAGAGCAGACCCAGCAGAGAGTGGAGGGCCTGACTTTACACATAAAGAAACTGGCCCAAAGAGGGGCAGGGACTTGGTCGCATAGCAAGGGTGGGACTAGGAAACAGTCCTAGCCCTGGATGGAGAAGCTGTTGGAGACCATCGACCAATTTTCTGGCCGAACCCTAGCCCTGGCCGGCTCCTAGCCCCACTGTCTCCAGTCTCCACCCCGGGACGGAATCAAGCCCCGTGGCGTGTCCTACCCCGGGCCCAGGCTTCGTGCAGGGAGGCCTTGTGCTGGAACTTCTCGGCCAGGTGCTGCAGCCACGGCAGCCGCCGGGTCTCCGAGAACAGCCAGACCTCGTAGCCGCTCTCCGCCTGCGCCAGCCCCCGCCACGCGTTGGCGATGTCCTGCGGGGCAGGCGGAGGTGCCCTCCGTCACGGCTCACCCGTTGTCCGGAAGGGGACACAGATCCCAGGGCCACCCAGGGAATATGGGCGAGCCGGGACCACCCCGTCCCCGGCCGCTCACCGAGACCAGCTTGCCCTCGGAGGGCATGAGGGCGGGCCGGTGGCTCAGCCGCAGCTTGGTCTGCGCGTGTTGAAGTTGATCTCCAGCTGGCACTTCTCCGCACGCGGGGCGGCTTGTGCAGGCGCCGGTAGCCCCGGAAGTCCTCCAGCTTGCGCTGCATGGCGCCCATGCTGGGCTCGCCCCCACGGTTCTCCAGCCACGGGATGGTGCGGCGGATCCATTCCAGCAGCTGTCCGGGCCAGGCCGGAGCGGAGCGGAGAGCTCTGGGCTGGTGTTCCCCTCGCCCGCCCCCTACACCCACACCTAGGCCGTGCCCAAAGGCCTGGCTCCAGCAGAGTCGGGGTCTGAAGGGAAGAATGGGGGATCCCCACTCGTCTGGGAAGGAGGAGGGTGGTTAGTTTCTGAGGCCCAGGACCAGTATAAGTTGGCACGGAGCAAAAACCACGAGACTACCTACACATGAGCGAATGGATAAATGAATGAGGAAATGAATGAGGGATGAGCGAATGGATAAATGAATGAGGAAATGAGTGAGTGATGAGTGGATGACCAGGAGCCTGGAAAGGCAGAAGGTGGTAGGAGCGGGTGGAGATATCATGAGGAGGCTGGGGGAGACCAAGGCTACTGGGAGGAGTGGGAGGCGTGGCCAGCACAGACCTGAGCGAGCAGGCGGAGAGAGCACAGGCCGGGGTGGAGGACTCCGGGCTCACCTCGCTGGCCAGCTTCTCATACTCCTCCATGAGCTTCTCATTCTCCTGGTTCACAGCCAGCACCTTGCAGATCCTGTTGGCGGCTGTCTCTGCCTGTGGGGCGGGGTGGGGGAGAGTGGCTGCCGCAGACCCCCGGCCCCGGCCCGGCCTCCCTCTGGAAGCCCGTGGGCCGGGCTGTAGGAACAGGAAAAGGGAGGAGGGG